TGAATTAGGTAAACTTCCATGTTAGTCTATAAAACTTTATTCCCGGCTTAGTTAGTACATTAAATGAACCTGCATGAGTTTGCCACACAACCCAGACTTTGGCCATGTTTGATCCTTATCAGTCAATTCCATCACTTTGGCTTCCTTTCAAGAAATCTGGCGATTCCTAAGTTTAGGAGAATGGTGAAAAATCTCTTGCCAAGTGGCTGTATAAAGGCAGCATCTTCTAGGCCTTTAAATCTCCGCAGTCCTCTCTCTAAAGCAGGGCTTTTCAACCTTTTCACCGATTGTACCACTTTTAGGATATGGCAATATTCGAGTACCACCTCCCAAGGCTGCTGCTGTTTTTTTCTCGCTCCCTCTCCCTCCCCCAAACTGCCGCCTTTTATAGCCTCTCCTGTCTTCGCTCCCCTCCTCCTACTTTCTCATGGGGAAGGGTGAGACAGAAGTGAGCCTGGGCCCTTTGCCTCGTCCCAGCCACTCTGTAGCTCCAGAGGACTCTCTCACAGTAAGTCCTTGCCTGCGCTGGCTCTTTCCCTCCCCCATTACACTTGGCTAGGCAGGGCTGTGTACCACCTGCCACTTGTTAATGTACCACAAGTGGTACGTGTACCACCTGTTGAAGAGCCCTGCTCTAAAGAGAACCCTGCAAATTATTTCTCATTCACGGTAAAATTGAGAAAATGAGTGATACTTTCATCCCTAGAAATAAAAATCCAACCTCACTGAAAAGGAAAAGCTATGAAGATCAAATCGCTACTGCCATATTGTTTGATCCAATCATATTCATATGCATCTTTCTTGCACCTTTGTTTCAGAAAAACTAGGGAGAGAAATGGAAGAAAAGCTACCTCTCCTTGGCAAATATTTTTCCAGGGTAGATCAGATTTCACTCTGCTAAGCAGCTGCCCTTGTCAAAGACAGGAAGGGCTACCAAACTTTTCTTCAAGTCCATAGAAACAAATGGAAACTAAGCTTTGAGAAACATAAATCTGGGTTCAAAATGAAAGGGAAGCCTATCCTTAGTATTAAGGTATTAACTTCTAGGAGAAGTTACATTAAAGAAATACTAGGGCTAAGTCTGTTCCTCAACTGATTTCTGGTTCATAAATAGACCCAATTAAGTTACAGAGGGAGCTTGCTTCTGGGTTTGACCTAAGGCCCAGGTGGGTCAACTTTACACCTGTGGATCCCAGAACATTCCTTGGTGTACTGGTACTCTATGACTTACATTCATTTAGTGACGTTCAAGGTTACGACAACATTGAAAAAAGTGACTTATGACCATTTTTCATACTTACAACCATTGTAGCATTGTCGTGGTCACTTATCAAAATTTGGATGCTTGCCAACTGGCTCATATTTATGAATGGCTGCAGTGTCCCAGGGTGATGTGATCACCTTTTGTGACCTTCTGACAAGCAGTCAATGGAGAAGCCAGATTCACTTAACAACCGTGTTACTAACTTAACAACTGCCATGTGATTCACTCAGGGGTTTTTTTGTCATAGAACACCCAGAACGGAGTTCCAGCACCTTTTTTTGGATGGAACCTTGTAGGGTAGACAAGGCGGGTAGTATGACATGTGTGAGTTCCAACACCTTTTTTTATTATTTATTTATTTATTACAAAAAAAGCACTGGATTCACTTAACAACTGTGGCAAGAAAGTTCGTAAAATGGGGCAAAACTCACTTAACAACTATCTCACTTAATAACAGAAATTTTGGACTCAATTGTGGTCGTTAAGTCGAGGACCTATATAGAAGCTCTGAAAGAGAAGCAGATAAAAAGATGCCTGGAGAGTTACTGGAGAATGCCAGTAATAGTGTTAATAGTTAGAGCCAATATTAAGAATATATTGCAAGAGTAAGGGTGATAAAGCAGCAGCATTTCCCTGCCTTTGTTGCATCTGCAGATGGATGTCCAGCAATCTTGTTCTGGGTGACTTGAGGCCTCCAGGGAATGGACAAGTCAGAGGTTTCAGGACTTCAGAACTGTGTATAGAAATTTGCAAGCCGTCTGATGAATAAAATACAGGCACATAGCAACACAAAAAAGGCAAAGAGTAGCCTCAGATGCATTATTTCTACATGCAGAACATTAAAAAGTACAAGGCCAACATCTATTAAGAGCTTTATCTTAGACTGTAAGATTTCTAGTACATTGCAAAAGAATGCTTCTAATCTGGATAGTTTTTAATAAATACAGTTGTTAGCAAAACTCTGCCACTGAAGATGCTAAAGTTCATTACTTGTACACTTACCTGCTTCCTCATCAAAATATAACTGGTTGTTAAACTAAGCTAGCATAAAATGCTGACTAAACAAGCAGTTATATCTGTACTTTGGCCCTTTTTTTTCCTGTTTCAGTGGCACAGATTTTCTTGTTGTGCTCCAGAATTTAGCCTCCCAATGACCTTCCACCGAGGGAAGATGGAAATTCTATGCTCCTTTCTCCACTAAATATCAAGGGATATCATTTCAAAGAAATCACATGTAAAAACATTTCCTAAAAATATGATCATACTAAATAGATTAGTTGCCCATTTTTCCTAAATCCGCATATGTAACTCCAGAAGAGTCTACTTATATGAAAAGAGAAGGTGGGTTATACGGCACTTTTTTTTTTCAAATAAATATAGGGATTCCTGGACTTAAGACCATAGTTGGGACTGGATCTTCTTCACTAAACAATGCAGTCATTAAGTGAGTCACACTCAATTTTATTTTTTTACTGTGGTCATTGAGCAAACCTTGCAGCTGCTAAACAAATCCAGCTTTCCCCCATTGACTTCCCAGTCAGAAGTTGGCTGGGAAGTTCACAAATGGTGATCACATTACTGAGGACACTGCAACTATGGTCAATACATGGTGAAAGCGCCAAGGACCTGAATTTTGATCATGCGACCACAGGGATACTGCAAGAGACCTAAATGCAAAAACCAGTCATAGTCAAAAAAATTTCAGCACTATTGTAACTTCAAACAGTGGTTAAACTAATGGTCGCAAGTTGAGAACTACCTATAAATTATTTAAAACCTAATCCACATGATAAATTATAAAATATTATCCTATCATAGAGGCATAATACATAAGCTAATTTTAAAGACATTCCTCTCTATTCTGCAGAATTTTGCAGTTCTATTGCAAAATTAGATATTAATGCTGTATTTTGTTCTCAACAAATTCATTTTCATGTATGTGGTAATCATGCAAAATCAGGGGTACACAGGGACCCCAGTTCTAATGTTAAACTAGTTTTATACATCATTGTTGTTTGTTTAGTTGCTTTTCTTCAATGAAACGCATTTCCCCACAAGTTTATTAGTAATTTATAATGTATTTTTAAGACCTAGTTTCATGTAGTGGTTAAGGAACCAGGCTGAAAAACAGATAAGCACAAAAACCAAATGGGTTCCTTTGGCCCAGTCACTTTCTCTCAGGCTTCAGTTAACACTGGCAAAATGAAATGAAAATCTTGATAAGAAAACTTCAAGGATTAGCTCAGACAGGCATCAACACCCCCCCCCCAAGGTGTTTTTATAGATTCCAAATTTTTTGCCAATTTAATTTGTGTATAAGCTCTACTGAACAGTTTCATTCACCTCTATGAAAATGTTATGCACTATGGACTGCACAAAAATCCAATATGGAAACCCTAAGAATCTTTTAAAAGTCTGATGGCAATAGAGAGCTGCATATGAAATGCGTGGGGGTACAAACATACAGCTGTGTCTGCCATCTTAACTTAAATTTTGACCATCTCTGGTCCAAAGCTGATGCATTTCCAGTCACTAGAATAACTCATGTGCTGGGTTATTTAATCCAATGAGTTGGATTCATATAACACATTCAGATTAAAAATTGACCCACATTGCAGACCACAGTGAAGCCCAAAACAATCTTCTACTTTAGCGCTTGCACAAATCCAGCCAATGAGTTCAGCGTGAGGAATCAGCAAAATTTAAGGGTTTAGATGTAACAGGCCTGAGGCATTTACAACTGCAAGAGAAACATCACCAAATAGATTTAAAGTAAAACTCTACATAGAAAATTGGCATGATATAAAAGTAGCTCTGGACTATATATTTCTGGACATGCTTGCTTACTCTGTTCAGGCAAATGATAGACAAATGTAAAATTCTACACCATCAGTTTCAGATCGGACAGTCTAGGAAAAAGTTGTATTCTCTGTTTCTTGAGCCATATTTTCTTCTCTGCTGTATCATGAACTTTATAAATATTTTTCTAACCTTCATTCCCTAACACTGCATGAGGAGTCATATTCTGAGTCATATTAATCATAATACGCAGCCTGTTCACTTGTAACAGCTGAAAAGGATAATTCTGGATTGTCAGTGACTGTCGTCGCTATGCTTTTCGCCCCAAATTCAACACAATCAAATCAATATAGAACAGGGATACAAAACCTAAGTTAGAAACTTAGAAGAAAATGAGTTTTAGTCCCGCTGGCTGAGTGACCTTGGGCCAGTCGCTTTCTCTCAGCCCAACCTACCTCACATGGTTGTTGTTCTGTGGAAAACAGGAGCAGGAAGGAGTGTTTGGTATATTCATTACCTTAAGTTATTTTTTAAAATAATAAAGTTGGGATTAAAATAAAGACCCTCAGTGGATTTTTCTTGGGGAAAGAGGGAAGGCCCATTAAACAGCGGCCTGATAAATAACATGCTTTAAAACCCGTTTAATATTAATAGTCCTTGAGTTACGAACACAATTGAGCCCAACATTTATGTTGCTAAGTGAAACGTTTGTGTCAGTTTTGCCCCATTTTACGACCTTTCTTGGCAGTTATGTGAATCATTGCAATTTTAAGTCAGTAACACGGTTGTTAAGTGAATTTGGCTTCCCCACTGACTTTACTTGTCAGAAGGTCGCAACATTATATGACCCCAGGACACTGTAATAGTCATAAATATGAGCCAGTTGCCAAGCATCCGAATTTTGAACACCTGACTATGGGGAGGCTGCAATGGTCGATATGTGTGAAAAACGATCATATAGATCCTCTTTTTCAGTGCCGTTGTGACTATGACTGGTCACTAAACGAACGGCTGCAAGTCGAGGACCAACTGTCCTTCGTTCTTCCTTGCCTCCTTTAAAATTATTCTTGCTCGCGCCCCCTCGTCCTCGTAACTTGCCTCCTTCACCGCTTCGCGCGCCAAACCACGATGGTTCTTTTTTTCCATCAAGGTCTACCGTTCCAGAGAAGGATGGTTTTCCCGGTTAACCGTGGGTTGGCGGGGTTGCCTTAGCGCAGCCGAACCAAGGACGGGGTCGAAGCGGGGTCTCCCGCGGTGGATGCAAATCGGGGGCCGCGGACCAAGCGCGAACCGGGGCGCGGAGGGCCAGCGGCGCCTTCCTCCCCACCGGCGCGCAAAGGCGGCGGGGCGCAGTGCCGCGCTCCCTCTGGGCGCTAGAGGTCTCTGCGCGCTCGCCTCCTCGCTGGCGGGCCGGGCGCGGCCATTGTTGCTCCGTCCTTCCTCCCAGCGGGGCTGTCGTCGTCGTCCTCCTCCTCCATCGCGCCAGCCCAGCCGTCGGAGAGACCCCGGGGAAGGCGCCCCGCTGGGGATGGAGGGGGAGAGCACGACGGCGCTGCTGCCGGGCTTCCTCTTCGGCGCCCTCGCTTTCCACCACCTCAGCACCGACTCAGATTCGGTACGTAAAGCGCCCCCCGCTCGTGTCTTCTTCGGGTGGCGAGGCTTAGTTTCAGTTTCATTTCGTCTGGAGCCGGATGGGCTGCTCCCGATACCCCGCTGGCATTTCCCCAAAGTGTTGTCCCCCGATGATTTTGGATTGGATTGGGGGGAAATGGCGGAGTTCAGCCGTCTCTTTCCTCCAGGAACGCCAGACGGTTCTTTCCTACTATGGGTTCCCACAACAACCCTGCGCGGTAGGTGGGAAGAAGCGCGCCTAGCCCAATCAAGGTTGAGTCTTGATTTGAATTGGGATCTGCCTGGTCTTAATCCAAGATCCTCGATGCTCCACTATAGTACAATAGTTGCTTCAGACTTGGCCGCCCTGGCTGGGAATCCTAAGAGTTTTCTGAAAAGGTGCTTTTTCAAACACCTAGGAGCTTCGGCTCCAATCCAGAGCAGAGCCCAAGAGTTGCTGCAAACGGATCCGGGATTTGTTGCAAAAATTGAATGCGCGCACCGCCTTAGGAACATCTTGCGCGGCTGTTTCCAATCTGAGGTGGATTGGTTCGTGCCTGCACGTGGCATCCATGTTAATATTAAGATCTCCCGCTGTGAGCAAAGTTGGCTTGCTCTGTTTTCTGTAGCTGCTGGATGCAGTATTATTTTGAATTTCCCTCTCCTCAAATGCTCAAGTGTACAGCCTCTGCCAGCGTAAACTCTTCCGAGTGAAGAGACAGACTCCAGTTTGTTTCATTGACTTGTTGACTTCCGTAACGTCGTAGGAGTCCCGGGTTTTCCTAGCTGTGGCCCTGTATGCCTCACTCATCCCTCACCTCCTAAAAGCTTGATTTACACAGCTGAAGAATAAATGTAGATGATCCTATCCTATAAATTGGGGGAATGTAAAAGAAAATAGAATGAATTAAAGTGTCAGGCATGTATAGTTGATCTACCCAGAACGCCTGACAGGGAAGACTGTACACAGGATGCTTTGACTCTGAAATATTACCAAGTGAGATTATAAGGAACACACTGTCAGGTATCACCCACTGGTTAGTTTGCAAAAGTTAAAATACTTTTTTTGCTTTTCATTACTGCAACCCCCTTATAGACTACTTCATGAAAACAATGTACGGTAAGTAGTTTGACTGATTCTGAATACGAATAGTCCTTGATTTATAACTGAATGGAACCCAGTTATTCTAACCCAGTTGAATTTCCATCCTAAGTTATGATAGTCACTTACATGACCAGACCTGATTTTATGACTTTTTTGAAGTAGTTGTTTAGTGAATCAATGTATTAATGGGCACTTTTTCCCCTGAAAACTGGCTGAAAAAACTGGACACTGTCAAGAAATAAATAAAAATGGTAAAGGTGAATTAGTTGCTAAGTGCCCAAAATGTAGTAATTTGACTTCAAAGGTGTGCGCAGCTGTTAGAAATCTGTCATAACTAGCTTTTGGGGGTATATCATAACTTCAAACTGTTGCTAAGCAACTGGTCTGTACCTCTGATAAATATTACATCTGCATGAAGGAGAGTTTAAAATATTGGGTAGGATTAAGAATTTATATTTGATGACTGGGCATTTGTTTCTGAACCTTATTGCTTTAAATGAATTGTTTATTCATATTGAATAATACATATGTATTTTTCCATATTAAATAAACAATGTTTACTTTCTAAAAAATATTAAAATTATTAACCAAAATCTGTTAGTGAATCCTCATTTCAATTGCTTGGCTCTCAAGCCTATACATGGATAAAATAATTTAACTCTTGCTTCCAATTTTATTTCATGTCAAAAGAAATAAAATGAAGTAAAAGAGAGAGCAAGACACTTAGGAAAAAAGTATGTGTCATCTTTTTGAAAGTTAGCAGCCTGCTATTCTATCACAGATCGCTGTCTTTTAAGTTGTCTTTTCAGCATTTTTTTTTTAAAAAATCAAGGTTTACATTTGAATTTGAATCTTGGGATTTCTTAATATGGTCTTGGTTTGACACACGTTTCCCTTTTGCTCACAAAGGAAGGTTTTCTTCTTGGAGATGTGAAAGGTGAAGCCAAAAACAGCATTACCGACTCTCAGATGGATGATGTTGAGGTTGTGTATACAATTGGTAAGTTATACACGAATTTATGGAATATTGGAGTGCGAAATAATTCCCTTTTGAATAATTTCAGGCATAAAACTTTGGGAACATCTGATTTCAAAGTGCAAAAACTTGTTTCCAGCATTTTGGTATAACCTTTAGCTTGAAACACCACTGTTGCAAGCTTCAAAGGGTCCATTTTACTTACAGCAGAAGGCGTAGCTCAGATGCATATTTATTTAACATGTGAATGAAAGATTTTGCACACTTAAATAAATTTTGCAAGGTTTCCCTCTACCTCCACCATCTGCCGCCTTAGATTTCTAAGACCATACAATCTATATATAGTACCAATAAAATGGGAATATGTGCTATTTTACTATAGCTTTCAGAAGGAACAAAACGGATCACAATAATATTTCCCATAACATATAATTTCCTATATCTTCCTCCTATTTCTGAAATTATTCCAAAAGGTCTTTAATTTCCCTGCTTTGTAAGAACTATAAAAGGAAGGATACAAATGGGTTTGTTCTATGCAGGGCTTTTTTTTCTCATAGAATGCCCACCACCCTTTTTGGATGGAACTTTGTAGAGTAGGCAAGGCAAGTTGTATGACATGTGTGAGTTCAGGCACCTTTTTTTTTTTTTTTTTTTAGAAAAAAAGCACTGGTTCTACGCTATGAAAAACTGTCCAGGTCTTTAAATTTGCCACTATCCCCATAAATGGAGATTATCATTAATTTTTGAAATTAATTTTAATGTTCCAAAAATCTGGCCACATGTTGTTCTTCCAAAGCTTCTTGACAATACGAATTTTAGCTCATCTGCACTTTTAGTAGAAAAACCGAAAAGTGTTCCATGAAATATTGAATTAAATGATTTTTCCAGGATTTACAAATCTCACATAGTTATAATGCAAAAAGCCATGTAATGAACAATGTATGAATCATACAGAACTTTTATTTTAAATAATTTAAGAACATAACAGAAGCATGTCTACATTACACTTTCTGAAACAGATAATATAAAATGTTACTTTATTTCAGATATACAAAAGCACATTCCATGTTATCAACTCTTCAGGTAGGTAAAAAAAATTGTTCATCTTTTTATAAAACATAAGATGGCACATTTAAAAAGTGCAGGAGGGTAGAATTAGCTGTGATTGTGAATTAGAATCACATCTGCAGAATAGTCTCAAGAAGTTCATCGAAAAATTAAAGGGCAGCACCTGTTTGCACTGAGAGCTTCATATCCATGTAACGGGATCCTAAGAACAGAAGTGTCAAGAAAGGAAACTGGAAACTGCAATCTTGTAGATTATTCCAATATAAACTTGACTGAGAGTAATATGAGTTCTATGTGGAAGTGAGTTCCATTTAATTTGCAAAATCTTACATTTTAAATTAACTTTCCCCTTGCTGTGATTAATATGGTATTCCAAGGGTATACCCACAGGTTCTATAAAACTATTTACAATGCAGCCAATAGTCAATTTATTATTTTTCAACCACATTAAACAGAGTGACAGGGGTTATTTTATGATATTGGCCCTTATCTCTCTGCAAATCAGCCGTACAAAAACATGCATATAGCTAACATTTTACTTTCGCCAAACATAATTGTAATTCAATAATTTTGTAGGGAAAAGAAACATTTATGATTTATGATTTTTGTCTACTTCCCAAGGCCAAAACGTTTGATTTCTGTATTTATTTTTATTTTTGATTTCCTATGGAAGTCTCAGGAAAAAAAAATGACTAGAAACAAACATTTACTAAAAAATACTGACTGCAAATATATGTAATTCAGTGTTTCTATTCTTTCCCTTTCATCATTTTTAGCTTTTACAACGCTGCTGGAGAACTGAATAAACCAACACTGAAGAAAATATTGTCAGGGTGCAAAAAGGTATTTTGTATTTATTAGCGTATTCAGAAACAATTTTATTTAGACATCCCCAGTTCTCCATGGCATGATTGATTGATATGGTTCGATTAGGAGTTGATAAGTAACATTGTCTCAGCAAGGTCAGTGGGTCTTGTTCCCAAATATATATCCCTAAAATTTCAGATAATGGGTCTCTTTGTACAAATTTCCTCAAAGGGAATTATATTGGACACTGTTGTCAGAATTTTTGTACTTTGATTATGGAATGGAGCTTGCTGGTAATCTTCGACTTACGACCACAATGGAGTCTAAAATTTTTGTTGGTAGGTAAGAGAGATGCTAAGTGAGTTTTGCCCCATTTTATGATCTTTCTCGTCACACTTGTTAAGCAAACCATGGCAGTGGTTAAGTTAGTAACACGGTTGTTAAATGAATCTGGCTCCCCCATTGAGTTTGCTTGTCAGAAGGTCGCAAAAGGGGATCACGTGACCCCGGGATACTGCGACCATCATAAAAATGAGTCAATGGACAAGTGTCTGAATTTTATTCATGTGACGTTGGAGATACTGCAATGGTTGTAAATGTGAAAAACAGTCATAAGTCACTTTTTCCAGTGCCATCGTAACTTCAAACAGTCACTAAACAAAGTGTTGTAAGACAACAAACAACTACCTGTATTTAACTACTGGTATTTCTGAATTAACACTGACTAAGAAATGTACTCTTTAGAAGACTGTATACTTTTACAAGCTTCTTGTCACCCATTACCATTATATTCCTTTGGCTGAATTTTTGTCGTGTGTATGTGTATAATTTTTCTTTTTTAAGTTAGAATTTAAGTTAAAATGTATATATATAAAAGGAAAACACTGACCTTGAAATACGTATTGTTGAAAATAATTAGAAATTATAACCAGGCTTATTAAAATAAAGGCAGGCATAAAAGCTGGGGCTAAATATGAGTCAGTTCCTTATATGATGCAACAAATTGTTTTGAAACTTATTAGCCATTAGCCGTGTTTTTTAATCTCTTGTTTATTTTGCATTTTCAGTTTTTAAGATTGTAGGTAAGATGCAGAGTCGCTGTTGAAAGATGAGCAGCCATATAAATAGATTGAAAGAAAGCAGACATACTGTATATATATTCAATGTACTCAAAATACATACATACTCAATTGCAAAATATAAATAGCCAACTAGACAAATTAGTACATTTTTTTAGAGCCAGTAACTTTTGTGGATTTCTTTGAAAGATTGTGGTAGATATAATTACTGGTTTTCATTTATCCCAGCTGTATTATTAGTTCTTGTGCTGACTCATGGGTTAAAATGTTAATTGTGATTCTTTTGCTTCATGTTCACTTTGAAAGTAATAACACATTTCTGTGTAGCTTTTTTTTAAAGAATGCCCTTTTGTTTTTCAGAATGTGATAGGTTGGTACAAGCTCAGGCGTAATACTGATCAGACAATGACGTTTAGAGAACAGCTTCTTCACCAGCGCTTACAGTCACACTTATCAAACCAGGGTCTTGTGTTCCTGTTACTCACTTCCAACGTAACCTCTTCAAGTTCAGCCACTTACAAATTTGAATATGCCTTACATAAGCCACAAGAAGGGTAAGTAACAAATCTTGCACGATTTCTTTTCATTCAGTTACATATTCATTCCGGTCAGAAATAACATGTTCCAGTGCAATAGCACACGGGTCCCCAACCCTCGGACTGCAGCCCAATAATGTGGCCTATTCGGAACAAGGCCACGGAAGTGGTGTGTGAGCACAGCTCTGCTTGGGTGAGCATGCACACACATGCTCACATGGAACCATCCCCTCTCCCCCCCCCCGCCAGTCCACAAAGCCAGAAGATTGGGGACCGCTACAGTAGCATGATCTGGGATTAATACTGTGTATCTCAAGGTAAGAGAACCAGATCAGTGCAGGCACCAAGTTAGAAACAGAGAGAGTATGAGTTTTAATCCTTCCTTGGGCATAAAGCCGGGTGGGTGTCCTTGGGCCAGTCACTCTCTCTCAGCCCTAGGAAGAAAACAAGGGCAGAACACTTCTACCAAAAAAACCTGGACAGACTTGTCCAGGCAGTCACTAGAAATCAACGCTGACTTGAAGGCAAAGCTCATCCCCCCCCCACCCACCCCCCAGGATAACTTTAGATTCTCTCTATGAATTCCGTTTGAAATTTGAAAGACATCCTATTACAGTGGATGCCAGAGGCGGCACTCGGAGCCCTCTCTGTGGGCACATGTGCCATTGCTCGCCTCCCCCCGCGACCCCCTCACCAGCAGCCCCCCTGGAGGAGTCGCCCCTGAGCGTAGCCCACGCGGAGCAGCGCAGCCAAGGACATGGCAGCCAGGCAGTGTAGACAAGACTGCCCTCACGCCCCATCACGCACAGTTGATGCTGCAGGGCGCGGGCAGAGGGCGTGGCCACCATGGCGCTGCTGGGCTGCCTGGGCGATCTGTGGTGGGCCCTGGAGGCGGTGAGTGGCCCTGTGGGCAGGCGGAGTGGGGGATGGTGTGGGGGAATAGCAGGGGGTGGAGCTGGGGCAGGGCCAGTTTTGGGGCACTCGGTCTCTGAAAGGTTCGCCACCACTATCCTATTATAACGAAAATTATTCATTTCAGTTAAAATTTCATATTTTACTTTCATCATCTCTGGCAACATTAATCAACTGATTCTTACAAAAATTAAAATTGTAAAATGATGAAATAAAGCTTAAAAGTTATTTTATCTGTCTATAACAGGGGTCTCCTAACTTGGCAACTTTTTGAGACTTGTGGACTTTCCCAGAATTCCCCAGCCAGCATGGCTGGCTGAGGAACTCTGGGAATTGAAGTCCACAAGTATTTTAAGTTACCAGGTTTGGAGACACACACACACACCTCCCCCAGTCTATAGCCTCAGATTACATTTCCCCTCTCCTCCAGCCCCTGACCATTTTATCTGGACAGGTAGTCCTTGACTTACAACCACAATTGAGTCCAAAATTTATGTTGCTAAGTGAGAAATTTGTTAAATGAGTTTTGTCCCGTTTTATTTGCACATTTGCTGAGTGAATCAATGCACCTGTTAAATTAGTAACATGGTTGTTAAGTGAATCTGGCTTCCCTATTGACTCTGCTTGTCAGAAAGTGGCAAAGGGGGATCCCATGACCCCGGGGACACGGCAACTGTCATAAACGTGAGTCAGTTTTCAAGCATCCCAATATAAATCAAGTGACCATGGAGATGCTGCAGTGGTCATTAAGTGTGAAAAACGGTCATAAGTCACTTTTTTCAGCGCCGTTGCAACTTTGAACGGTCACTAAATGAACTGTGGTAAGTTGAGGACTCCGCATAAGCTGCATCTCACATGTCAACCTACCGTAAATGCCAGCGTACAAGGCGACCCGGCTTATAAGACGACCCCCGTCTTTATAGCCGGGCCGCATTCCTAGAACGTCGTCTTATACGCCGGAAACTACCGGTCTTTCCGGCGTATAAGACGACTCGGCGTATAAGACGACCCCCGTCTTTGGCGCCGATTTCAGCGCTCGCGGAAGTCGTCTTATACGCCAGAATTTACGGTACTCTTCCTTTAAAGTCCCGTTATCCTTGAAGATAAATAGCAAAATGGCACATTTGTCATCTGCAGCAGAAAAAAACGAATAAAACCTCCATTATCTCTAATGATGTATTTGGGTTTTCTGTAGACTTTTTCAGAGAGTGCCCTTAGTTGTAGCCAATCTAGGAATGGCAGAACAGCAAGGTTATCGAACTGTGTCCGGTTCCTGTATCTCTTCGGGCCTTTATAAAGTGATCGCAGAACACAGGTAGGAAAACAGCCCTCTCCTATTTTTTACAGTATGGTATTCTCAGTTATACTTTAGGTTGATTTCAGACTAGCTTAAAGAAAATGTTCCCTATTGCCCGTATCAGTGGGATTTGGTCAACGTATTCTAAAACATCCGTGCTATGTGAGAAGAAAACTGTTCAGAGTTTTCAGCTGTGCTTCCCTTCAGAATATTCTAAACCATAAAGTACTTAACAATCCTTTATCTTGCCTTGATTTTTTCAGTTTTATTTTTCAGTTCAGTGGCTTTTGGTACTGGAGCATGAAAACATCCCCAGTTGCTGTTTTTACATTCTACTTCAGTGTCCAACTTTTTGTTCTTTTCTCAGCAGTTTTGCTGTAAACTCATTTGTAGTACATTGAATACTTGAGTTTAAAACACAGATAAAGTTGCTTAAGATTGCTAGAATTAAGGGTTTGTAAATCTTATGATTACATTTTGAAATATCTACATTTCAATACTGTATTTTCTGAAAATAACAGATAAAAATAGTACATGCTAGGAGTTTTTTTATTTTTTTGTATCAAAGGTCAGAATTCTTTAATGAAGATGGGTCTCTAAAAGAGGTTCATAAGATTAATGAAATGTATTCTACTTTGCAGACAGAACTAAAGGTAAGTTGTGAATACCAATTTTGAAACTTTTAAGCAGCAGTAGAAAATTTGAAAGACAATTGTTAATTGTCAAATAAATGAGGCAGGTAAGGAAAGAAATCCTCGCTCCCCCCAAAATTGCCTTTCTTTCCTTACCTGACTCCCAGCCCCGTGCCGTTTCTCCTTCACGATCCACCACTGCCGTGTGCAAGGAAACGAAGGGTTTTTTTGGGGGAAAAAAGGTCAATCAATTCCAACTTCTCACGAATTGATTGACCCTTTTTCCCCTCAAAAAACTCTTTGTTTTCTTGTACGCTGTGGTGGCAGATCGCAAAGGAGAAACAGCACGGGGCTTGGAGTCAGGTAAGGAAAGTAAGGCAATTTCTGGAGGGAGAGAGGATTTTTTGGGGGGATCTCTTTCCTTACCTGCCCCACTTGTTCCGGGGCCCCTTTCCGCTCAGACGCGTTGCTCTTGCCAATGGCCCAACCGCCCACTTCAGCACCTCCCTCCCCGAGCCTCCAATGCTCCACCTGCTGCTTTGGTGGCTCTGTAGGCAGAGCTACAAAGTTCTCTTCTCTACAGCCACCAAAGCTGTAGCTGAATGGGCAGGTGAGGAGGAAACTTGCCCCACTTGTTCCATGGCTGCTTTCAGCCAAGCCACATTGCAGTGGCATTGGGTGCAATATGTGAGGCGGCAAACAGCATCATCATGCCGAAACCAGCCATTTACTGCCTCCTGGCTGCTGCCATGAGGCCATGGAACAAGCCGGGCAGCGGTAAGAAACTGGTATACTGGTTCCTTACCTCCGCCCAGCTTGTTCGAGGGCCTCATGGTAGTGGCATTGGGTGCAACACGCGAGGCGGCAAATGGCCACAGCTGGAGGCAAATGGGGACATCATGCCGGAATCGGCCATTTGCTGCCTCGTGCATCGGACCCAATGCCACTGCCATGAAGCTGCGGAACAAGCCAGGCGGAGGTAAGGAACTGGTATACGGGATTCCCCCCTCCCCCATCAGCTTCGCCTCATCACAGGCCGTCCATGCAGGTCCTTAAGTAGGGCTTACTTTCGGGGGAGGGATTATATTAGGCCACCACCCCCCCAAATCAGCTGGGGCTTACTTTCGGGGGCGGGTTTACTTTCGGGGAAACACGGTAGTTATGCAGTCTCCAGGCTAAAAAGATTGCACATTCCTATGAAAAATATAGGAATTAGGGTAATATGGAACTAGAAAGTGATGCTTAAAAATGTTTGATTGCTGACAAAAAAACCTTGCATTCCACAGAAGTGTTCTTTTTCTCTTGTTCTAGAATCTGTGCAGTAAAGTAGTGGATAGTGAAAAATCAGTAGAAAATTTGTTATCACAAATAGATCAGCTGAGGCAAGAAATAAGAAGCAAAAAAGAACAAAAGAAAACTACAGGTAATTGTGCCTAAAAAAAAAAAAAAAAGCTTATTGTGCTTTCAGGCCTTTAAAACATATTACAAATAGATTGTACAGAGAAGAATTCTCTTAATTCATTGTTACTACATTCTTTATTGGTTTTGGTATAAAAGACCTGCATAGTTATCTCCCTTATTTTTCCTCAACAAAACATGGAGAAGCTGTAATTTTGAAAATTGTTTATTGATGTTAAATAAAGCACTTACAAAGATAACCATTCGTTTGCGAAAATAACCAGTTTAGTAAGCTGGTTCATAAGCTGGTTCATATATAGAATAGAGCTGGAAGGGACTTTGGAGGTCTTCTAGTCCAGCCCCCTGCTCACGCCATCTCAGACAGGTGAATGTCTAGTCTCTTCTTGACAAAATCTCCAGTGATTGAGTGCCCACGATTTCTGGAGATAAGCTGTTCCATTGGTTGATTGTCCTCACTGTCAGAAAGTTTTTCCTTAATTCCAGGTTGCTTCTCTCTTTGATCAGTTTCCAACCATTGTTTCTCATCCTTCCCTCTGGTGGTTTGGCTAATAATGTGACTCCCTCTTCTTTGTGGCATATATGTTGAGATCCAGTAGGTTTGGTTTTTAAGCATACAGACGCTGCATATACCAATTATAAAAGTTCATTATTGTAGGTTGTCTGGCAAAATAACCTAAAAGTTCTGAGCCATTTTCTTTACCAAGAAAAGTGAACTTGGTAAGTGAACATAGAGAATGGCTAGAGCACAGACAAACCAGTCAGCCACAAATGCTTCGTGTTTCTGAACTTGCTTGTACAACATTTTATTCTTGATTCCTTGTATGAGCATTGGGATCAGACAATAACCCGCCCTTTCCCATATTCCTTTACTTGCTCTCTAGTTATGCCCCAGCCATTTTGCCAAATAGCTGCCCAAGAGAGTGTAGGTAATCCTCAGCTTACAACTATAATGAAGCCTGCCTGTTAGAGAAATAAGTCATGATAGCCGTAAAGCAGGCCATCACGTGACCGGACCATTTTTTGCAGTACTTGTTAAGCAAATGACCCATAGCAAATAGCACTTCAGACTTATATACCGCTTCATAGTGCTTGACAGCCCTCTCTAAGCGGTTTTACGGTGTCAACATATTGCCCCCCAACAATCTGGGTCCTCATTTTATGGACTCAGAAGGATGGAAGGTGGAGTCAACCTTGAGGCAGGATCAAACTAGCCAGCAGAATTAGCTTCCACTACTGCATTCGAACCACTGTGCCACTGCATCAAGATATTTAAGCAAATCTGTTGTTCACTATGGAGCATTTTTGCCAAAACCTGGAAATAAAAGCCGGTTTTGAGATAAAGCATCGTAAATCATGGTCACAAGACTACAGCACACTTCAATTGGCCATCAATTCAAGCTAGTTGCCAAGCAACCAAAATATTGTGATGTGACCACAAGAGAGGGAGCTTCAAAGCCAGGTTATAAGTACCTTTGGGGAAGTCTGTTGTAACTTTGAACTGACACTAAGAGATTGACTATAAGTTGAAGACTATCTGTAACTAGAAAAAGGTGGCTTATAGAGAGGATCCGGTGCATGCCATAATTTCCATTTAATTTATACATCTCCATCCATGGTTCAAACTTGGCATTTAATAGGTGCATCATGGGGCTGTCACAAGCACCCATTTATATTTTACAAGGGGTTTACATGTTACAAAAAGCCAGAAACAATGGTCTTCACTTTTTATCCAATAATAAAGGATTTTACAAATGGTAAATGGGTTTGTGTGTGCATACATATGTATATATATCACAAACAATGTAAAGGAACCAAGGGGTGGCCTGGTATATACTGTGCTGTAATGTTTAGCCAGGCAGAAAAATAAAACAAGATTTCATTCTTTAAAAATTAGCTACTTATTATATGTAATCAGAAAAATATTTAAAATAAAATCTAGTTTGTTAAGGAAAGTACAAACTAGTAAAAGAATTTTAAATTCTTTTAAAATCTCAATCTCTAGAGCAGAGTTTCCCAACCTTTCCAGCTTGGCGGCCCAGAAGGAAAGGGAGGAGCAGAGAAATGTATACACGTGTGGCTCATATGCCTGCACACGCAAATGGGCATGTGCACGGCAGCAGCCCTAGCATGCACACATGCACAAGCGAGCTGCGTGTGCCTGCGGCGGCGTGCTTGCGCAAATGGGCTGCAGATGCGCATGCCCAAGCAGGCCACTAGGTTCGTGTGACACTGGTGGTGGTGCTAGCACCCCCACGCATGCGAATATGGGGCCATTGGCACCCATGCAGCGACACTACCACGAGTGGGGGGGCTCACCAGCTATTCCTGCAGCCCAGTGGCCAACAGGCTACTGCCTGGTACTGGGCCGTGGACCATAGGTTGGGGACCCTACTCTAGAGCATATTAAAATTGTAGTCAATTGTTGAACAAACTAAATTCAAATTATAATTCGTCTTGCCAACTAATAAGAATATTCCAGTAGGAAAAAGATAAGGAGAGGTGACCCTTTGCAATTCCTGCTACATCCTCACTAAATAAAAATTAGCTTTATCTGAAATCCAGTTCCTTGGTACAATATACCCTATATTGTTATTTGGGCATGTAATAAACTGTTTCACTATAAGGGAAAAATGCTGCTTTTAATTAATATATTCAGCCTTTCCATATAATGAAAATATCCTCTAATCTGACTTTTTCCTTTCTCTTTTCCTCTTAGAAAAAGATAGAAATTACTTGGAGGAGCCAAAAGAGAATCTTTTTCTCTGTCAAGCTATGCAGCACTTTTTCCCAAATTCTGGGCTGCAGACAAGCATGGTTACTTTAAAAGGAAGGCAGATTCCTAAGCAGGAATGCACAGCTGACCACAACATCAAAATCACGGACCAGTTAACTTTAATGATCAAAGAAAGTAATTTCCCTGAAGCAGAAACGAGGCAGACAACGAAGCGAAAAGCTATTGTGAACACAAGCGGGCCAAAGACATGCAAAAGACTGCGATCTTTCTACCTTAATCAAAAACTATTTCAGGAAGACCAGGAAAATAATGACCAAGAATTAAACGTTAGGAGTAACACCAAAGCAACTGAAGATGTGACCCCCTGATGGGCATACACTGCCTTCAACTCTTTAATCCCTTCCAGTGGCAAAGAGTTTTTGTTGTTGTTGTTGTTATTCTCATCTCATTGCTGCTACTTATGTTATTAGCACTCTTCATTAATACATGGAATACTTGAGTCAATGTTTTGGAAATAAAACATCGCCCTTTTAAATCAGCATCATTCTTACAACCTGGAACAAGTTTCAGGTTGCTTTTCCTCACTAAATCTTAAATTGCTTAACTCTCTTAAAGAGCACAGCAGAAAAGAGCAAAGTCAAAGAACCTATCTGTTGTTTTTAATAAGAACAATATTAAGAATGCAATGGTACTTTCTTTAAATATCAAAGCTGGCTTTGAAGTGAAGCCTTGGCCCTACAATCAAAACACTGCAGTGAAAAAGAAAACCTAGAAAACCTAAGAATTCTATTCCCAATTATCACTTTACATTCTGTTTTAATACTTAGAATTTCTACAGCCTTGTTACGTATTTGAACTAAAATGTGTAAGTAAAATTGAATTTGAGAGGAATGAGCCCCAGTGATGCTAATTCAAATTAGAATTACAGTATCCTTAGGTGAAAAGGTTGATTTTCTATCCTGTATATGAAGCAACAGTTGTTGTTCAAAAGGCCCCATATAGCAGTGGTGGCAAACCTGTGGCACGCGTGCCAGAGGTGGCACTCGGGGCCCTCTCTGTGGGCACGTGCACCGTTGCCCCAGCCCCATCTTCTCCCGTGGCCCCCTCCTCACCAGCAGCCCCCCCCCCAGAGAGTCACCCCAGGGCACGGCCCATGGGAAGCAGCGCAGCCAAGGACATCGTAGCAAGGCAGCAGGGACAAGACTCCGCTCTTGCGCCCTGTCGCACGCAGATGATGCTTTGGGGCACGGGCAGACGTCGTAGCCTCCATGACGCTGCAGGGCTGCCTGGGTGATGTGTGGTGGGCCATGGAGGTGGTGGGTGGCCCAGCGGGCAGGGCAGAGCAGGGACGGGGGGCGGTTTTTGGGCACTCAGTCTCTAAAAGGTTCGCCATCACTGCCATATAGGTTGAAGCAATCAGATATTCACTATAGAGACACATCTTTCTCCTTATAGTGCTATATTTGAGGACACAATTCGTTTTTTACTCACTATACAATATGAAATAATAGGCTTCTCATGGACATATTGATAGCTTGTTTATTAACATTCTAATAAACATAGTTACAAAAAATAGGTTAACCATGATTGATACAATTTATTCTGGATATTTAATATTACATAATTTGGGGTCATTGCGAAACAATGGGTCCTTATGCATAACCGACATAAATCCTGTAACAGAATAATTGAGTTTTACAAACAATATTTTTATAAATCATCCAAATGTATGACTATTTTATAATACTTACCCATGCGATGGGCTCTTTTAATAGCTTTTGCTATTTGTTTTTGTTTCTTTGTACATAAGCCTAAGAAGCAAACAAATAGTAATTTCAAAAATTATTCCAATAATACTAATTGCTCAATTTCCTTTGAGCCTTTGTTTCAAAAATAAAAATTATTTTAAGTAACTTTTTTCTGCTTCCTTGCTTTACAAAGCAGGTACTTGGGCCGGTATAACTCAAAATGGGTGTAAACTATTTAAAATTCTTACATTATAAGTACTGAACAATATTTCACTATTGGATTTGGATATGAGTAGATAAAATTCGGCTATAAGTATTTTTTGTACATACCTGTTATATGTTGACCATGTATGTGACCGGTGTATGGAGAAATAAACTGTGATAAAAGCTGTTGGAGAAATAAGTTGGTTAAATCTTCAAAGCAGTAAAAATTAAATAAAATTAATACCTTTGGTAGCAAATATTTGCAATTGGACAATATTTCATACTTATTTAAACAAAAGGACTGTGTTGGTGTAAATTCATAATATTTTATTCAAAAATCTAAAACCATAACTTTGGGTTGTTTTAACCATTTAGTTGTGTCCGACTTGGCAACTTTAGAGGCAAGCCCTCTCCATGCTACCATCTCAAGTACAGCTTCTTTCAGTTGTTGGATGTTCCTCTATCAGGTTCGATGTTATCAAGCCAGTGTGTTCTTTGCTGGCCCTTCCTTGTTCCACTAATCATTCCTAGCATCACTGCCTTCTCCAATGAATTTGCATTCACGATGTGGCCAAAGTAAATCAGATGTAGTCTTGTGATTTTAGCTTCTAGTGATGTGTCTTTGTTACTCTGTATGCCCACGGTATACACCAGGGGTAGGCAACCTTGGCTCTTTTATGACTTGTGGACTTCAACTCCCAGAATTCCTGAGCCAGCATGGCTCAGCTTAGTAACTCCCTTTCCCCTTAGCATGGCTGGCTCAGGAATTCTGGGAGTTGAAGTCCACGAGTCATAAAAGAGCCAAGGTTGCCTACCCCGGATTAGCCTATCATACCCACACCAGCAGAAGGGTATACTGTGGATCCCATCGACCAGGTAATTTCGGCTGGTGGGTCCAGAAGAGAGAAAGTGACTGGCCCACCATCACCCAGCCAGCTTTCATTCCTACTGGAGGTTTAGAACTCCCATTCTCCTGGTATCTAGGCCAAGGGTAGGCAACCTTGGCTCTTTTATGACTTATGGACTTCAACTCCCAGAATTCCTGAGCCAGCTTGGCTGGCTCAGGAATTCTGGGAGTTGAAGTCTAGGCCAACCTAATCTTAAAAATGTTTTTGCTGTTTCCTATAATGCAGTAGTGGCCAAAATTGTGAAAACCTCTTGGGAAAAGTGTACAGTAGAAATGCCACCTTTGGTTAAGTTTCCACCAAGTTTCTCAGCTTCAATACATGACACATCAATAACTGAATCCTACTGTGATCTGATTGGCTCATTGCCAGAACAAGAGGACACCTGACTGGCTCTCTAAACACTCATGCTCATTGGCCACAATCAGATGAAGGAAAGCTACCTGATATCAACCTAAGCAAATTGTACTTCCTTTTTCTGGTTATTTGGCTATAGCTTTTCATAGAATACAGTACAGATAATTGAACAAACTATGTTGCATTACATTCTTGATTAAATTATCTTTCCATTGAGATATAATTTTATGGTACTACTCCCAAAAAAGTGGTGTTATTAACCATCAAACCTCAAATGTACACTTTTCCCAAAAGGTTTCCACAATTTTGGCCACTACTGTATACACAACATCAAACTAAAATACTTATTAATTTACCTGTATATTCTTGTAGTCAATGGTTACACCACATAAGACACACTTTTTAGGAAGCTCCTTGTAGGGATTTTCCATCGATACAGGCTGAAATGACAGAAATTTTAGTATTTTTCTTTCAGCTCTTCCTATTCTGAAGTCCTTCAGCAAGAAAGACATCCTTTCACCCAAACTGTGTCAGCTACACTAGATAGACCAGACCAGGAAATCCACAAGAGGGCTAAAACTACTTTTATTTAGATTGGCTACAATGACACAATATTGAGGTTGCAAACTGGTGTAACTGTAATGTCCTATATGCCCTTTTTCAAAGGGGTTAATCTACAATATCCCTTTAAATTTAGGATCAACTTTTCACAATTTTACTGGAAGAAATTAGAAACATATCCCCATTCTATTTATAGATATTTCATATTGGTCCCTATGAGTTATGGAAAGTGCAACCAGATTTCTTTTTTAAAAAAAATAATAACACATATATGACAAGCACTTTACTGTATTCACTATATTCTGACATTCTGTGTCAAATATTTAACAATACATAGAGTTTAACTATGTTGTAGTAGTATCTTACCATATCTGCTTGATTGGATTCCTGTTCACTATATGAACTACTCTCTCGTTTCCATGATCTACCTGAAAAGAAATACAAATGTTAAAATATACTAATCAGCCAAATAAAGAACTGAACAGAAATGGCTCTGACTTCCTGAAGATTTCTTTCCTTTTTGATCTTCTGCAAAAATACAAACTTGTCATCAATATAAAAAAAACCTGAGATGGACACATGAATGATGTATTTGAAACTAGCAAAAATGCTGACACTCAGGCTTGCATTTAATCATATGGATAGCTATCCTAAACAAAAGGAATCCCATGCAAGGTAGTGGAAGAAAAGCCTGCAAATAAGTAAGAAGTCTACCAGAGAAGGTCTGGCTTGCTCTGCTCCCAGCCATATTGGGAGAAATTCTCTCCAGAAACATTATTAAAAAGATACAGACTGATGGAGGAAGTACTGATAGCTGTCTCCACTACAGAAGCTAAGCTCATAGAGTGTGATCTAATTCTCCTCAGTCAAGCTGATGGTCAGAAGGCAACTTTTAAAAACTAGCCTAAGATTTTGTAAAGCTTACGTTTCAATATTAGGCATGTCTGTTCCTCCAAAAATAGCAGCAGAAACTGTTTACTTCATATTAGGCTTCCAAAAAAGTTATTGACTAATAGCTTTCATGGACAAATTAATGACTGTGTTGTAGTAGCCATTTAAAAATGCATAATTGAAACAATATAGTTGAAAAATAATCTTGTTTGCTGCTGTAGTATGTGAAAGAATGTAAGAACAGCCCTTCTGAATCAGTCCAAGGTACGTCATATATAAAAAAAAGCTGTGGAGGGACAGAGAAAAAAGTATACTGTGAACTGCATAGTAGATCATATTTACAAAGCCTATTAACAACAAAAGCTATTTTATTATTCTATTCCAAGATATACCTCCTGCAAAGGCTCATAACATCCAAACTAGGTAATTGTAACAAGTAAACATTTTCATGCATTAATTCCCAAAATTCATATATGGCCCTTTTTTACATACAGTATCTGTAATTATTATTTCATTTTTTTATTTTAAACTGCCCAATAGCCTAAGATCTCTAGGCAGTTTTCAGTAAAAAGATACACTTTGAGTAACTACACATGCACTAAAATTAAATATAACGCAAAATGAAAATGACAGCAGCCAAGGTGGTCATTCAAAATACAGGTAGTCCTCAAGTTACGCCCACAATTGAGCCTAAAATTTATATTGCTAAGTGAAACATTTGTTAAATGAGTTTGCCCCATTTTATGACTTTTCTTGCCACAGTTGTTAAGTGAATTATTGCATTTGTTAAGTTAGTAACATGATTGTTAAGTGAATCTGGATTCCCCATCAACTTTGCTTCTCAGGTCGCAAAAACTGATCATATGATCCCAGGATACTCTAACCATCATAAATATGAGTCAGGGGCCAAGCCTCTGAATTTTAATCATGTGACCATGGGGACACTGCAATGACTGTAAGAGTGAAAACCGGTTGTGTTACTTTTTTCTGTGCTGTTATAACTTTGAACAGTCACTAAATGAACTGTTGTAAGTTGAGGACACCTATAATAATAAGGCCAATTAAAAACCCTGAGAAAATAGGAAGGTGGCACCGAAAGTATTCTAATGTGGGGGTTGGTTATGCTTCTCTGGAAATAATTCCGTGGTTAAGGTGCTCTCCTTTTGATGGGCAAGGGTCCCCATAGGTGGGCAACCACATCAGAAGGGATGAGTGTCTGAAACAATTCCCATCTCTTTGCTCAAATGCCTGAATTCTTTCGTTATTCTATTCCAGGAGTTTTCAAACTTGGCCCTTTTATGACTTGGACTTCAACTCCCAGAATTCCTCAGCTAGGAACGCTGGCCGAGGAATTCTGTGAGTTGAAGTTCACAAGTCATAAAAGGGCCAAGTTTGAAGATCCCTGTTCTATTCTATCCTAAATTAATGGGCCCACCACATGGAAAAGATTATCATTATCTTCGTCGCAGGTTCCGCAGGGTTGTTCTTCGCTTACCTGGGCCAGGCACACAGATTCCGTTTCTTACAGCAGCGAAGAGATAATAAAACCTTCCCGAAATTTTGGGAAAAGAAACCAAGCCTACCACAGCAGCCATCTTTTTCCCCTTACAACCTTCCGGTTCAGACCGGATAGGAAAGTAACGTCCAATCAAGTCCCTCTCACAACACGTCCGGCTTCCAGAAAGGAAAAAAAAAAAAGCTCTCGCGCCTCAACTGCGGTTGCTCCAACGGCCAATAGAGTTCATTAGCGGCTAGCCAATCCTCCCAAGGAAGTATCTTCCGTTCAACCAATCCGGCGGTCTTTCGTCATAACAGCACGTGATTCATTGCCAGTTCTCTCTACTTTTTTTTTCGAACCCAAATCCCATCAGCCATTGCCATCATGGCCGCCTATGTGAGGGATGCTGGGAGTTGTAGTTCATTCATCGGATGCTCATGAGTTCACTTTCAACAGGACGCGAGGGCAGGAAGTGCCTATTCAGAGTCCCGCGTAAATGAAACCCTGCGCCCTTTTAGTAGATAGTGCAGTCCTCGCTCAGAGGTGGACAGTTCCTTTCCCGAAAAAAGGGGGGGAATCAGAGAAAATGGAGTCGCTGCCTGTCGTAAGAAGTGGCCCAATTCTGTACCCGCCCGTCTGATGCAGCACCGGCTGACTCGGGAGGTTGAGCCCTGCTAGGGTTATACCGCTTTCCATGGAGGGCGGTGGGTTTGCCATGAGAAGGACGCAGGAGCGAAGGAGGCGGCGGCGACGGCAGCCGGGTCAAGAGGCGGATTCGCCCGACATAAATTGCCGAGGTGGATCCCGGTCTATTTCCCCGCCGGCCAGCAAGAAACTGAACTCCGACGAAGGCGAGGAAGAGCTGGAGGAGCCGAAGCCGGAGGTACTGTCTATTCCAGGCCTCTCCAGGCATCGTGCCGAGCAGACTTGAGGCTGGGAGGCTCCATTATAACAGAATAACAGAGCTGGAAGGGACCTTGGAGGTCTTCTAGTCCACCCCCTGCTTAGGCAGGAAACCCTATACCGGGAGTCCTCAACCTTGGCAATTTTAAGACTTGTGGACTTCAACTCCCAGAATTCCTCAGCCAGCAAAGCTGGGTGAGGAATTCTGGGAGTTGAAGTCCACAAGTCTTAAAATTGCCAAGGTTGAGGACCCCTCCCCTATACTACTGCAGACAAATGACTGCCCAGTCTCTTTATTATTTATTTATTTATTTATTATTGTTATTATTGGTCGCACAATCAGTCAGGTGTTTTTTTACCTGGATTTGGCATTTTTACCCATTTATGAAGTCCTCAAGGATCTAGGATGGGCAGATGATGTTTTATGTTGTGAAGAGATGTAAGCTTTCTGTAACTGACTGATGGTGAATTTGTCAATGCCTATGGTGTTCAAATGGTGCTCCAGTTATCCAATATCATTATCATTAATAGTGTTGTGCAGTTAAGCAAACCATGCTGATTTGAGGCTGGAAGACTCTTGTGGAAGGAGCTAGTGAGCCAGTTAGATTTGCCACATTTGAATTCAAGTGATGGTGATTAAGGGGAGGTGGGGAAAAAAGACAGGTGAGTTAGTTCAGTTGGGCAACAGCAACATTTTGGACTCTTGTATAATGGGTGTGCATGTGTGTGTGTGTGTGTGTGTTGCAGAGACATAATACATAATACACCCATTAAAAATCCCCCCAAATTGACCTATCCTCTGTAAAGATAAATTCCTTGTTTTTGTCGTTCTGTCTCTAAATCATGTCCAACTCTTCATGACCCCATAGACTACAGCACACCAGCTCCTTCCACCCCCGCCCTTTACTGTCTCCCGGAGTTTGCCCAAATTCATGTTCATTGAATCAGTGACACTGTCTAACCCAGGGGTCTTCAAATTTGGCCCTTTTATGACTTGTGGCCTTCAACTCCCAGAATTCCTCAGCCAGGCACACTGGCTGAGGAATTCTGGTAGTTGAAGGCCACAAGTCATAAAAGGGCCAAGTTTGAAGACCCCTGGTCTAACCATCTCATCCTTTGCCATCCCTTTCTCCTTTGGCCTTCTGTCTTTCCCAACATCAGGGTCTTTTCCAAGGAGTCCTATCTTCTCATTTGGTGGCCAAAGTATTTGAGCTTCAGCTTCAGAATCTGTCTTTCCAAAGAACAGTCAGGTGGATTTCCTTTGGGAGGAACCTCTAATAATTCCTTGCAGTACTCCAATCTTGCATCAAAAACAAAAAAAGATCCAGAATGCCAATCATTCCAGTGACATTGCAACATGACAAACCATGCCTTATATATAGGCCCTCAGGCATGGCTGAAGATGATATGGTAATGTGGTCTCCAGACATGTATCCTTTCAGCAACTGTTTATGTTTTTGTACTGGTCTAAAGAAGTTTCTTATGATGTTCAGCTGAACTGCTCATGGTACATATTAAGGATATAAGGGAAACTTTGATGTTTTAAAAAAGAGGAGTGTCTTGGTCAACAACTCATTTGTGCCTTTTTATAAGCAGGTAATCCTCAGCTTGCAACCAATCATTTAGTGACTGAAGTTATAACGGCACTGAAAAAAGGGACTTCTTACTGTTTTTCACACTTACGACCGTTGCAGCATCCTCATGGTCACGTGATCAGCATTCAGATGCTTGGCAACTGGCATGTATTTATGACGGTTGCAGTGTCCCAGGATCATGTGATCACCTTGTGCGACCTCCTGGCAGGCAAAGTCAATGGGGAAGCCAGATTCAATTAACCAACTGGGTTACTAACTTAACAACTGAATCACTGGCAAGAAAAGTCGTAAAATGGGGCAAAATTCACTTAACTATCTTGCTTAGCACAGAAATGTTGGATTCAATTGTGATTGTATGACAAGGACTGCCTGTAAAGTACTATTTCATCCCCATAGTTTTACATTTTGCCAAAAGAATGAATATTTTATCATCCAAGATACAATTGCTTAGTATTAAGAAGTCTCATTCACTGACACGTTAGAACCTGAAGGATTTAGTATTTTAGAATAGATGATTGATTTTTAATCGAGTTCTAACTAACATTTTGATGATACGATTACTTTTCCTGATTTACTGATTTTCATTTGTTACTTTTGCTTGTTAGGATTTATTTATTTTTTTTGGAGATTTTATTAGTAGTGTTTACTTAATAGATCAACGTATTTGTTTACTAATTGTTTTTAATACATTACAGTTTAAGCTTTGTTAAAAATGGTTGAATATGATAATTACTCATTATTATGATCCGGACGGTTGCTTGTTTGTTGAAATATGTGATTGTACCCATCTTTATTTTACCCTAATTCCTTATTTCCTCCCCTCCCCCTTTCCTTTTACCCCTCCCTTTACCATACCTGTATTGTTCCTATTTTTCCTCACCTATATAAATTTAATAAAATTTTGTTAAAAAAAAAAGTCTCATTCACTTTTTATCTGAGTCATTCTTTTTTTTTTCTTTCAGGATTTTGACAGTGATGATATGTTTGCAGACTATGACAGCTTTTCTGGCAACAACTCTTTCTTAACTGAAATTGATGATATAGAGCAAAAATGCATGCCCTTTGGTAGGGATAGTCTGGATTCTGACAGCTTCGATCGCAACACTGCTGTGCGGCCTGTAGGTGGAGCTAATCAGGTGACAATTGCCAGGAACCCTGCACAGGTATTTTCGGAGGCAGAACAGGTATTTTTGGAGACAAACGCTGCAATTAGCTCCAGAGTCATAAGAGAATATGATTCTTTGAAACGGATGAAGGAACAGGAGAATAGCTCAGAGCCTCAAGATAATGATTTAGAAGGTCTTCCGTCCTCCCAGCTTTTGTTTCGTCAACATTCAGACGAATGTTCTCTGAAAGAAACTGCCATAAAAGAAATACCCTGTCAGCTGGACTTCTCAGATCTACCATGCTGCAGCGACACAGAAAGTAATAAACAAGACTGTGAGTCGGTGAGAACTGCTTTGTTTGAACCAAGTAGGCGGAAGAGTCTCAAAGACCATCTCAAAAATGCAATGGCCGGGAATGCCAGATGCTCTGCTTCATTGGTTTCTAAAAGCAAACAGCTGAAAGAAGCCATTGTAACTGAAGAGATGGCCATTGCGGAGGCAACTGACAACTTGGCTTTTGTAGATATCGGCCCTTTCTATGGTTTACCCACCAAAGTCAAGGAGCTACTGCTATGTATCAGAGGAATTGAGAAGCTTTACGGTAACACCACCAATCTCTTGTTTATTGTGACCTTTGCTACTATGATAAATTCCAATTCGGTGCAATCTTTGCTTGTTCTGCTAGTGAAACCAAATTATTTTACATGTAATCCTTGACTTACGACCGTAATTAAGACTGAAATTTCAGTCATAGATTGTTGCGGTCGGAAGTTGAGGCATTGCATTTTTTTGACATTTTTGTGGTGATCGTTAAGCGAATGCCACTGTTGTTAAGCGAATCCATTTTCCCCAATGAATGTTTTTTGCCAGAAACGGGGGGGGGGGGGGAATGCTGGAAATTAGCAAAAAAAAAAACCCCATCATAAATAGCTGCCAATGTCTGCAGGACACTTGAAATGGCGATAAAGGTGAGTCAGTTGCCAGGCACCCAAAATAGACTCTCTTTTTTTTCATTGAAGTATAGCATCTGCCCACAAAGGAGCTGTTCCTGTACAGTACTAAATTTACATTTTTGTTTTTAAATTTTTCCTAGGTTCTTATAAAACAATACAATTTTAAGTGTGTACCGTATTTTCCGGCGTATAAGATGACTGGGCGTATAAGCCGACCCCCGACTTTTGAGAAGATTTTCATGATTTAGAAAGTTGTCATACGCCGGAAAATACGGTAGTTTGTCAAGCTTTCTTAGAATCCCCAAACAATTTAATTTTCATCGTGAATCATTATGAATACTAACACAGGAAAGGAAGACTATAAGAAATGCCTCTTAATTTTACAGACTGGCAACATGATTGTTTAATGTTCGAATCCCTGCAAAAGCGAAAGAACTTAATATATTCCTTGCCAACCAGTGGTGGAAAAACACTCGTCGCTGAAATTTTAATTCTTCGAGAATTGCTCTGCAAGCAAAGGGATGTTTTAATGATCCTGCCTTATGTGGCTTTAGTCCAGGAGAAGGTGCGGAAACCGGCTTTATATTCATCTACAGATGATTGAATTTGATTAACTCCCATCCACAGGAGGGCTCCAGTTGTGGTAGGATAAAATGCTGGGTTTGCACAGCTGGGATTTCATTTCTGTTGTACAGGTAGTCCTCTACTTACAGCTATTCATTTAGTGACCATTGAAAGTTACAACGGCACTGTACAAATGGATTTATGACCATTTTTTACACTTACGACTGTTGCAGCATCCCCATGGTCACGTGATCAAAATTTGGACACTTGGCAACTGGCATGTATTTATGATAGTCGTAGCGTCCAGGGGGGGATCACGCGATCTCCTTTTGCGACCTTCTGACAAGCAAAGTCAATGGGGAAGCCAGATTCTCTTAGCAACCTTGTTACTAAGTTACCAACAGCAGTTATTTCATTTAACAGCTGTGGCAAGAAAGGGGGTGAACTGTGACAAAATTCATTTAACAACTGTCTTACTTAGCAATGGAAATTTTGGGCTCAGTTGTGGCCATAAGGCGAGAACTACCTGTACTGGAGGTGGGGAGGTGAACAACCAAGAAAATGCCTACGTTTTATTTCTTCTTATTCTTCTTGTGCCATATCCGTTATCGGACGTTGGCGATCATGTTGGCGATCCTGTTTTTATCAGCAACCGCATGAAAAAGTGCTGCTGAGTTTTGTCCAAACCAGTCCCTTAGATTTTGAAGCCACGATGTTCTTCTTCTGCCTGGACCTCGTCTGCCTTCAGTCTTTCCCTGCAGGATTAAATGGAGTATGCCGTATTTTTCTGGGCGTCGCATCACATGTCCGAAATATTCTAACTTTATTTTTTTTTAATTGTTTTGATGATTTCCCTTGGCTTTCCCAGGTGGCTTATCACCTCATTTCTGATCTTGTCAACCCAGCTTATATGTAACAGCCGCCTGTAAATCCACATTTCAAATGCTTCTAGTCTATTTGCTGTTGTGAAATTTGTACCATCGTAAAATGACTTTTTCTCCATTTTCTTCCTTTTCCAGGTTGGGAGTTTGTGTGGTTTTGGAATGGAGCTGGGTTTCTTAGTGGAAGAATATGCAGGAAGCAAAGGAAGGATTCCTCCAATCAAGAGAAGACAAAAGAAATCCGTGTACATTGCCACTATTGAAAAGGGACACAGCCTGGTGAATGCCTTGATAGAAGCAGGGAGAATCAACACCCTGGGTCTAGTAGTAGTTGATGAGGTTTGTTGCGACGTTTTATCATTATTTAGTATTTCCAACTTCTTTGTACTCGGTAAATTATTTTGCAGCTTGGTGATTTTGATATCTTTTTCTCATTTAAAGTTGCACATGCTTGGAGAAGGTGGTCGTGGCAGTATACTAGAAATGACCCTTTCTAAGATTTTGTATGCAAGCAGTAAGTTAACTCTGTATAATATCTGAAAAGTCATGTCTGAACTTACTATACTGTATACTAATAGGTTAGGTATGGCAATTTCAAAAACCTACAAAACAGCCGCACACTGTATTTATCTGAAAAGAAGACTCGCCCCAAGTAACACGAAAGGATTAGCTTAAATTTGTTGAAATTCTAGTGCCAAACACGATCATAAGTTGTTATTGTATTGTTATAATATTGTTATTATTGTAAGGGAGAGTGGCAGTTTCAAAATCCTACAAAAGGGGTGCGCACTGAAAAAAGACACTTCCCCAAATAATTCGAAAGGGTTATCGTAATTTTATTGAAATTCTGGTGCCAAAATGTGGTCATAAGAATATAACACTGTAAAGTGTTATAAACAGTATTGGCCAGATTCTGGTTTGCAAACTATGCATGGCTTAGCATTTTTGCAAGAACAAGGAAATACAATTCTTAAAAAACAGTCTCTTATATATTTATGCATCTTGAAATTGTTTGATTGCCACTTTCTGTAGATGCAGAGAGAAGTTGCATAAAATGTATGGATACTCCTGTGACTTTACATTCGGAAGTTAATTCACATTGATTTCAGTAAAACCTAGTTATCATTGACTACTATTTGAAGATTTCATTATGTGCTTTTAAGAATAAGGAATTTTTGTCCTCTCAGAGGCTTTCAGAAATATATTTCATGCTGTTTGTATTGGAACAGTATTCAGTATAGTTGAATATATATACAGTATATATACATATCTTGAGATGGAAGCATAATGGCAATATTTTTATGTAAGAAGTTCTTGACATTCTTTTACTAATTTTGTTTGCAATGTGAATTCTTGTATATTTAAATTCTTAGGCATGCATGTTTGGCATTTAAGCCTGATCTATTTCATTTTTGCATAGAAACAACTCAGATCATTGGAATGAGTGCAACATTACGAAATGTTGAAGACTTGCAGCAGTTCCTGAAAGCAGAATTCTACACAAGTAATTTCAGACCTGTATGTTATTGAATTAAAAAAATGTATCGAACTTTCTGAGAAATAATTGTTACATAGTAACAGAGGTGAATGAATAGTGCAGGGGTAGGCAACCTTGGCTCAGGAATTCTGGGAGTTGAAGTCCACGAGTCATAAAAGAGCCAAGGTTGCCTACCCCTGGAATAGTGTTTGCAAAGGCAGTTTAGTTTCCTATAGAGAATTCTATAGAGAAGTTGGTGTAATCATCTTACAAAAAATAGACAAATTGGTTTGAAAATGAAGGTTTGATCTGTTGTTCAGTCACTTTGATGTTTACAGTTATTTGATGAAAAGACCTGGAAATATTTTTATTTTCTTGTCACAACTGTGTAAAAGTAGGGGAAATGCTCATCTTAATTAAATTTGTATTCTATTAGGAAGTATCTAGTTTGCTATATTTTAAAAAGCCAACAAGAACAATGCATGTACTTACTCAGGAGAAAAATCTAGGTACCACAGGAATCGACCTACAACCATAATTGCCCCAGGATTAAGAGTTGTAAATCATTGAAGCCATTAAATGGGTCCCCATGTGACTGGATCTGGTTTTACATTTTTTACACTGGCTGCTAAGCAAATACTATAGTTGTTAAATGAGTGCCACGGTCATTAAGCGAGTCCATTATACCCAATGGATGTTTTTCGCCAGAAGCCAGAAATAAATGCCAGAAACAGGCAAAAAAACAGGTGCCCATGCCAAGTGTCAAAATGCAATGATATGATTACAAGGGGAGGGGGCTGGTTCAGCCATTGTAACTTTGAAATGAAGTTGTAAGTACCTTTTGGTGGGGGGGTCCATTGTAACAGTCACTAAGCAACCAGTCGTAAGTTGAGGACAGTCTGTATACCAGTGACAGCAAACCTTTTAGAGACCAAGTGCCCCAAAACCACCCCCGCTCTCACTCCACTCCCCGCCCTGCCTGCCCGCACGGCCACCCACCACCTTCACGGCCTGCCACAGTAGATCACCCAGGCGGCCCAGCAGTACCATGGCAGCCACGCCCTCTGCCCACGCCCTGCAGCATCATCTGCATGTGACAGGGCACGAGGGCGGAGTCTTGTCCCCGCTGCCTGGCTGCCATGTCCTTGGCTGCGCTGCTCCGTGCAGCCGCACCCGGGGGCAACTCTCCTCTGAGGGGGCTGCTGGTGAGGGGGCCGTTGTGGGGAGGCCGGGCTGGGGCGACCACACATGCCCACAGAGAGGGCCACAGGTTTGCCACCACTGTTATATACCGTAGTAGTTCAGTTGTTGGACTGAAATCAAAGAAATTTGAATTCAAGTCCTCAGTCATGGAGGTCATTGGTGATTTAAACATCTCACAGGGTTGCTGGGGCATAAAAATAACAATGTCACAGAGGTCCTTGGGCTTGCCTAGGAAAGGTGAGATATAAATATGTTTATGTTGCTGTAATTTCAGTATAAACAACTCTTTTCAAAAGGTCTTTTCCAATTACATCCAATTATTTTACGTACCTTTCCACAATATAGGTTGAATTGAAAGAATACATTAAAATACAAGACCGCATCTACGAACTTGATAGCAAAGCAGAAAATGGCCTTAAGTTTTCACGTCTCCTTGATTTCAAGGTAATGCAGCTAAATATGCGGACATTTCATTTTCAGTTTGCAACTTCCCTTTCAGCCACGGCTTTTTCAAAACCATGTTTCTAACGGCATGTCATTCGTTATTACTAAAGCACCATAACAGTCTCTAAAACAGCAATTCCCAAAGTGTGCAGCGTACCTTCTTTGAGATGGTGCAGAATCCAGGAGATAAGTGAATAATCTTTTAATGGTACATTGTTTCAATAAATCCACTTTTCCCTAAATATTGCAAATAAGTAACGTGGTGGAATAAGCACAGATACTGGCTTTTTTATTTTTTAATGTCTTCTTTATTAAAAATAAAGTTTTGTGTGGTTTTCCTTGTCCATTTGTGTTTTTAGGGGAGGTGTGTATATTAAGATTAGATTAAAGCAGTATTTCCCAACCTTAACCGTTTTAAGATGTTTGGACTTCAATTCCCAGAATGCATTGCTGGCTGAGGTATTCTGGAAACTGAAGTCCACACATCTGAAAATGGCTAAGATTGGAAAATGCTGCACTCAAGGAAGGTATCATGGCAAAAGGTTAGGAACACCTACTCTAAAATATCATAAGTAAACAAAATATACGGGTAGTCCTCGACTTACAACAGTTCATTTAGTGACCATTCGAAGTTACAACAGCACTGAAAAAAGTGACCTAAGACCAATTTTCACACTTACGGCAGTTGCAGCATCCCCTTGGTCACAAGATTTACATTTGGACGCTTGACAACTGACTCATATTTGTGACAGTTGGAATGTCCCGTGGTCATGTGATCCCTTTTTTCACCCTTCTGACAAACAAAGTCAATGGGGAAACCAGATTCACTTAACAACCGGGTTACAAATTTAAGAGTTGTAGCGATTTACTTAACAAATGTAGTGGGGAAAAGTTGTGAAATGGGGGAAACACTCACTTAACAGATGTCTCACTTAGCAACAGAAATGTTGGACTCAATTGTGGTTGAGAGTCGAGGACTACCTGTACTTAATTTTCAAATTATTTCTTCACTTTTTGTACATAATTGTGATGCTTTGCTGATCTTGATTCTACTGCCTTGAGTGGGAGGTGTAAAACCCTGGAGAATCAAATGCTTATTTTGTATTTCTTTTTAGAAATTATTTAATAGATTAAGCACGTTGAAAGCAAGTATTTAAAACTCAGGCATCAAGTAGGGATCGTTTGATCATTTGCTTTCTTTATATCCAATTAAAGTTATAGAACAGTGGTAGCGAACCTATGGCACGGGTGCCAGAGGTGGCACTCAGAGCCCTCTCTATGGGCATGCGCGCCGTTGTCCCAGTCCTAGGCCTTCAGCTGGGTTTTATAAAATCTTTTCACTTTAGGCCTCCGCCGCCATGTGCAAAAAAAAGAGGTTTCAACTTCTCGCAGGGAAAAAAAAAGATCTTGCAAAGCTGGAATTGATTGATTGAACTTTTTAGTCCCACTCAGTCTGCTGTTACCACTGCAGCCACGCCCACCCAATGGGCCATACCCACCCAGCACCCGACAATGTATAAGTGGGTTTTGGGTTGCAGTTTGGGCACTCGGTTTCTAAAAGGTTCGCCATCACTGTTATAGAAGCTTAGCACAACTACTTTGACAAATTGGGATTACAACAATTTGCTTCCATTTAGAAATAACGCTGCTTAATATTTTAGTATTCTAGTGATCTTCAGAAGGTAGATCCTGATCATCTTATTGCATTGGTCACAGAGGTTATTCCCAAGCACTCCTGCCTTGTCTTCTGTTCTACTAAAAAAAACTGTGAAAATGTAGCAGAAATGATATGCAAACACATAAACAGGTATGTCTCCTATGTGGACTTTAATTACTAAATCAGTGTTTCTCAACCCTGGCCAGTTTAAGCTATGTATACTTCAATTCCCAGAATTCCTCCGTCAGCCATGCTGATGGAGGAATTCTGGAAGTTGAAGTCTACCGAGCTTAAAGCAGCCAAGGTTGAGAAATGTTATGCTAAATGAACATTTTCATGGATCTCCTGGTGTTAGTGTTAATTTGATGCAGACATAGTACATTTGCATCCTAAGCAAATGTAAAGCATTGCAGGATATGTTCTTATGTCAAAGAATAACAGTAATGGTGTATAGCAGGGGTCCCCAGACTTGGCAACTTTTAAGACTTCTGGACTTCAACTCCCAGAATTCCCCCAGCCAGTGGCTGGCTGCCTGAAGAATTCTGGGAATGGAGGTCCACAAGTCTTAAAGTTGCCAAGTTTGGAGACTCCTGGTGTATAGGATTGGAAGATATCTAATACTCTGGAGAACTACTGCCAGTGTAATCTGTACTGATCCAGAGAACCCAATAGTATAGATATAATGTCATGTGGGAAAGACCTTGGGAGACAGGACCAAAAGATGCTGTCTAGGAAATGGTCAGGGAAGAGACAGCTTAGCCTGCAGTAGGATAATGGATAGGAAAACAGGCTCAGAAGAGACTCTCTTTAGTTTCTCTGGCTGTAAAGGAGACAGTGGGAGAATTATACCGTCAGACCTGCAGTGTAGCTTTACACCCTAAAGTAGAATTAGCTTATCTGGACAGGTTTCCTGTCTGGTCTCTTCTCATTTTCTTAGTATTCCCTTATTGATCTAATTCACAGCCTAGAAAATCAGGTCAAGTGTTTTCTAGTACCATGTTCCATCTTCCCTTTCCTTTCAGCAAATCATGGTTGGCTTTGGAAATTAGAATGTTATCTAATTTCCAAGTTGCAAGACTGGTTCTTACCACTCTTTCCAAAAAGTGGAATGGGCAAACAAAAGGCAAATTTGTACTTGCCAGGCTGGGAAACGGGTTTGTCAGCCGGAAATGGTTACATCCAGCCAAATATATTTGAAGCTGGGTTCAAATTCCAGATGTGGAAGGGAGACCATATTCCATAATGCACTTCCAGTCTTTTAATTGTAAGCTAATCAGTGGAGAAGAATACAAATAGTCCTTGACTTATGACAGAAATAGAGCCTATGGTCATAAGTCATTGCAGTCGTTAAGCAGCTCACCCTATGACTGGACCCAACTTTAGAATATTTTTTGCAGTGGTTGCAGTATGGTAGACATCACACAAATACTGCAGTAGTTAAGTGAATCCATTATACCCAATTTCTGGCCCTTTTTTTGCCAGAAATTAAGACTAAACCCCAGAAACTGCCAAAAAGCGTCAAAAATATGGCCATAAAAGTGAAAATACAGTCATTTGAGCCCAGGGGGAATGCGGCCATAGTAACTTCAAGATCAGGTTGTAAGTAAGTTTGGGGAGGTCTGTTATAACTTTGGTCGCTGAGCGACCGGTCCCTGAGTCAAAAACTACCTGTACATTTGAACTTTTGGTGCGTCTTGTAATGGATCGTTCCTTGTTCATCCTAGATGAAAACAACTAGTTATGTTTGGAACAAAAGTGGCTTGTGAACAAAGTCCCAAGAAGTCTGAGGATACCCATTGTCTAATTCTACCCTTTCTTTGCTAGAGCACTTAAAAAGGTCAAGGAGAAAGAAAAATACAATCTTCTGAAAGAGTTAAGAAGCATCTGCAGTGGAAAACTCTGTCCAGTTTTGAAGCGAACAATTCCTTTTGGGATTGCTTACCACCACAGCGGTCTCACCAGCGATGAGCGGAAATGTATAGAAGCAGCTTATTCCTCAGGCTTCCTCTGTCTGCTAACCTGCACATCTACACTTGCTGCAGGAGTCAACCTGCCCGCTCGAAGGTTATAGCACTGGCTTTTCTTTTTATGTTCCTCATGTGAAATAGGGTAAACATTCTAACATTTCTTTCACTGAATCCCCAAAAAGCCACCTTGTGGCGTGACCCAAGAACCAAGTGATGTTGTCGTGATTCCGATAGATGAGACCAATTAAAAGAACTTCAAGACAAGGAATTCTTCCTCAGAGAACGTTACAAAATAACGGCACCTACAAAGGTGAACCCAAGACTAAATTCCCCTCCCCCTGGTTACAAAGTTGCAGAGTTAACAATTCCCACCCCAGTTAGATGTCATAAATCACATTCCTCAATTGTTACTAAATGGGGCACTCCTCCCAGATCTCCAGCCCAGCCAAAATGTAATCAGCAATGACCTTGGTTCCCATACCTAAGAATTGTTATGGCTAACTTAAAACTACACTTCCCGCCCCTCATCCCCTTCTAAATATGTGGCAGCCAAAAACAAAGTGAAAATGGCTTCAATTTGTTGCAAGTTGGCTCTCTCAAACAGCAGCTATGGAAATTCTAATGATCCGTTGTTTCTCTTTTTTAAAAAAAGAAAAGCCATCCATGCCCATTAAAAACCAGGGATTAGACCCAAATCTTTCCCTAAATGCAATTTTTTTTGTTTCCAGAGTATTATTTAGAAACAGATGTTCAGATACACGAATCCCACCCGAAGTCCGAAAGAATATGATCTAGAAATAGTATTCAGTAATGTAGGGGTGCCAGTTCCCACTCCTTACTAGCACTGATAATGTTAATTAGTTTGGATAATGAAACATCTGCAAAAAAAAACACACAAAAAAACAATAACCAAGCTCAGAGAGCACCAAAGACCCCTCACTGGAGATAATATGCAAGCAGTAGCTCCTGTTGATAGCCTTATCCTCCATAAATACAGATAATTCCCCAATTGGGCCACTGAAATGATGACATTTTGGATCAGCTACTTCCATATTTGAACTGTGTGCATATCATTTGAACAAATGCATATCAAAGTAAAATCTTTCGTTTGATTTCAATGTTCTTAATGGCTTAGGATATCCCATTTTATTCCATTATTAGCAATAATTCCATTGTGACCATTACTCCTTTATGCACTTTAAGCATTCCAAAAGAAGCTTCTGCTTTCTACTGAGATGATTATTATTATTTTGGTTTTAGTGTTCGTAATTTTAAATATTGTATGATTCATCTGTTACCTTAAAAGCTATCAAAGTATTTTCAAGTGCTTTTTCTTAGTGAGGAAAGAAAAAAAAATTGGATGTAAGTGAGAAGTAATTAAAGTCCCTGTTCATGGATTCCGCAGGGTTATTTTAAGAGCGCCATATGTTGCTACAGATTTCTTGAAGAAGAACCAGTATAAACAGATGATTGGCCGAGCTGGTCGTGCTGGCATTGATAAGGCTGGTGAAAGTATTTTGATTGCGCAAGAGAAGGACAAAGAACTGGTAACTTAAATGAAATGAATGACAACGTTTGATATTAATTGATTAAATAATACTGTAGTGGATGGAGTTCAAATATATAAAGCCTTGTTCCAAAGTAATTTATTTCTTCTTCTAGTAAATACATTTAAAGATAGCTTTGTAAGGGCAAATTGGTTCTTCATAATTATGTCACTACCAAGAAATATCATAACCTAAGTTTACACATCTGTGCTTTGGTGGAAAGTGAGCCCTCTTTTTATCCATTTAGGACAGGATTGTGGCATTTAAAGACAATTGTGTTTATTTTTTAATTAAAACAGTTAAGTTGTTCTGCATCACAAAAACTTAAAAGCAGTTTTGTTTTCTATTTCCCCCACATCTTCTTGAATAGATTGGTATTACAATGCAGTCCCTGTAAAGCAGGTGATAATGCATAGTTATATATCTTGAGAAAAGGTACTGCAAATACATAGGGCTACCTCTGAGAAGCTAATGTTCCTAATGATAGAGGACTTGAGCAAGGCATAAATTGCAGGAAATGATACAATTAAAATAATGCTCAGGATGCAATGGAGCAGGCATTTCTTTTTTTTTTTTTTTATTGAAAGTTTTATAAATTTTACAAAAAGACAAAAACAATACAAAACAAAAGACAACATATACAAAAAAAAACTAAACATAACATATATAAAAAACCCCCCCCATCCCCCACCCCTCACAAAAACCCTCCCTTCCCCCCCCCTGAGCTTCCCAGAGCAGAATATAGGCTTAATTAAAAATTAAGAAATAAAAATAAAAAATTAAATTATTTATATATATATATATATATCTATATATATATATAAAAATAAAACTTATAAAAAAGCTATGTGATATTTTTGTATACCCAATCTAAATTGTATAAATTTTATCCATTTGTCCCAAACAGCAAGGAACTTCTCTTGCGTTTGTTGCTTTAAGAAAGCCGAAATCTTTGCCATTTCCGCCAGATAAGCTACTTTAAGAAACCATTCCTGCAATGTAGGCAAAGATTCCTTCTTCCAATATTGTCCTACTAACAGCCTAGCGGCTGTAATCAAATTTAACATCAATACAACCTCCTTTGTATCACAATCTGTAACAATGCCTAACAAAAATAATTGCGGAGTAAATTTTACCCTCCTTCTAAAAATTCTCTGGATATTCCACCATATTTTGATCCAAAATGCTTTTATCTCTCTGCATGACCACCAAATATGATAATAGGAAGCATCCTTATAACCACATCTCCAACATTTAGGTTGCACGTCAGGGTACATAAGAGACATTTTTTGTGGATCAAGGTGCCATCTATAAAACATTTTATAAAAATTCTCCCTAAGGTTCTGTGCTTGTGTAAATTTGACATTTCTCACCCAAATGGTTTCCCAAATGTCCAATGAGACTGGGACACCAAAATTCTGCGCCCATCTAATCATACAATCTTTAATTAATTCCGTTTCTGAGTCCATTTCAACTAATACCCCATAAATTCTCTTAATATGGGTTTGTCTTTGATCCTTGACTTGCTTAATAAGATTTCCATCTTCTCTAAGAAAACCCAATTTACAATCCACCTTCCATTTATCTACTAGTTGCCTATATTGAAACCAAGAATAAATAATATTTTCTTGCGCTAAATCTTCCCGTATTCTTAACTGCCAGTTTTGCCCATCCCATCTAAGTAACTGACTATAAGACACCATGTCCATTTTTACTCCTCTTTTTATTCCTTCTATCGCATGCCAAGGTATAGCCCATAATGGAACTTTAAAATCACTTTTATAATATTTTCTCCAAATCCTAAGTAAAGAAATTCTTAAAATATGAGATTTAAAGACCCAGTCCATTTTTTTATTAAATATTAAATAGGCATGCCACCCATAAAGTAAATCCCATCCCTCTAAATGAAGTATCTCAGGATTTGTCAAATTTACCCAATCACTGATTAGTGTTAAAACCACCGCATCGTAATATAATTTCAAATTTGGTACCTTAAGTCCACCCCTCTCACGGAAGTCTTGCATAATTTTAAACTTAACCCTTGGCTTTTTCCCTGCCCAAATAAATTTATTAAGACCCTTCTGCCACTCACTTAAATTAATCTCATTTTTCAAAATCGGTAACATTTGAAACAAAAAAAGAAACTTGGGTAGAATATTCATTTTTATCACTGCAATTCTTCCCATGAGGGATAATTGCAACTTCTCCCAATTCTTCAAGTCCTTCTGTACCCTGACCCACAACCTTTCATAATTATTTTTAAATAATTTTACATTAGAAACAGACAACATCACCCCCAAATATTTTACCTTATTAACAATCTCAAAACCCGTCAAGTTAGCCAAAATCTGCTTCTCCTGACTAGACATATTTTTAGGTAAAATTTTAGTCTTATTTACATTAATCTTAAAACCCGAAACCAAACCATAATGATAAATCAACTGTAATAAGTTTACTGCAGAATAATCAGGTTGCGACAAAGTAACAACCAAGTCATCCGCAAAAGCTCTCAACTTATATTCTTTTTTGTTAACTTCTATTCCTTTAATTTCCTGAGACTCTCGAATTTTGATCAATAATATTTCCATGTTAAAACAAACAACAATGGCGATAAAGGACACCCCTGTCTAGTACCTTTCTCTATTGTAAAAACCTCCGACAGACCTCCATTAACGATAAGTTGTGCCGTTTGTTTTTGATATATTACCATAAGAGCTTGCAATATCTTTTCACCAAAATTCATCTCTTCCATTACTCTTAACATAAAATGCCAATTCAATTGATCAAAAGCTTTTTCAGCATCTAAAAATATCAGCCCTGCAGGAACTTGGTTGTTTTTATCTAAATATTCTAATAAATTAATAATTTGGCTGACATTATTTTTCATGTACCTTCCAGTTATGAACCCAGATTGCTCTTTATGCACAAGGTGATGTACAACCCTCATAAGCCTATTTACCAAGATTTTTACAAATATCTTGTAATCCACATTTAAAAGAGATATAGGCCTATAATTTTTTGGTAAAGTAAGATCTTGATCCTCCTTTGGAATCAATGATATAAAAGCACTACGCCATGAAGGAGGAATCTCTAAACCCTGTAAGATACCATTAAAAAGATCATTTAATGGTTGGATCATCTCCTCCATTAAAGCTTTATAATAAACAGCTGTTAACCCATCCGTACCCGGTGCTTTCCCTAGTTTCAATTGTTGAATTGCTGAGGCAATTTCCTCCTTAGTAATTAAGCCATTAATTTCATGTTTCTGATCCTCAGTCAATTTAGGAAAACTTGCCTCAGCTAGATATTTATTTATATCTAGCAGTTGCACATTAGTAGATTTGTATAACTTTTGATAATAATCCAAAAAAGATTTTTTAATCAATTCCTTCTGAGAAACTAATTTACCCTTGTAATTTATTTTCTCTATTATTCTCTGTCTCTGTTTCTTTCTTAATTGATAAGCCAACCATCTCCCAGGCTTATTAGCATTACAAAATGTATTTTGTTTCATAAACAATAAATTGGTTGCCGCTTGATCTGCTATCAACATATTAAATTGTGACCTTAGTAACTTTACAGATTCTTTAATACTTTCATCAGAAGGATTTAGAATCAAGGCCCTTTCTTTTAATTTAATTTCATCTTCAAGTTCTCTACGTTTCTGCATCTGCTTCCGCTTATGACAATTATTCATTTTTATCAAAACACCACACATAAATGCTTTACCTGCATCCCATACCATTGACATTGAAGTCCCCTTATACATGTTCAAAGCAAAATAGTCCTTTAAACACTCCTTTAACTTTTGAACATTCTTCTCTTGTCTGAACAAATTTTCATTAACTCTCCAGGATCTCATTTCCTCTTTCTCTTGAATCAGCTCCATCCAAACTGGGCTATGATCCGTCAGTGATCTAGGAAAAATCTTTACATTCTTTACTTTATTATACAAATCCGTAGTAATCAAAAAAAAGTCAATTCTTGAAAAAGATTGGTGTCTATCAGAAAAAAAAGTGAAATCTCTCTCCTCTTGATTACATTCCCGCCAATAATCCCTTAATTCCCAGTCTTCCTTCATATCAAAAAAAGCTTTAGGTGAAACGGAACTAATTAAAGATTGTATGATTAGATGGGCGCAGAACTTTGGTGAGCCAGTTTCATTGGACACCTGGGAAATTATTTGGGTGAGAAATGTCAAATTTACTCAAGCACAGAATTTAAGGGAGAATTTTTATAAAATGTTTTATAGATGGCACCTTGATCCACAAAAAATGTCTTACATGTACCCTGACGTGCAACCTAAATGCTGGAGATGTGGTTATAAGGAGGCTTCCTATTATCATATTTGGTGGTCATGCAGAGAGATAAAAGCATTTTGGATCAAAATATGGTGGAATATCCAGAGAATTTTTAGAAGGAGGGTAAAATTTACTCCGCAATTATTTTTGTTAGGTATTGTTACAGATTGTGATACAAAGGAGGTTGTATTGATGTTAAATTTGATCACAGCCGCGAGGCTGTTAGTTGGACAATATTGGAAGAAGGAATCTTTGCCTACATTGCAGGAATGGTTTTTTAAAGTAGCTTATCTGGCGGAAATGGCAAAGATTTCGGCTTTCTTAAAGCAACAAACGCAAGAGAAGTTTTTTGCTATCTGGGACAAATGGATAAAATTTATACAATTTAGATTGGGTATACAAAAATATCATATAGCTTTTTCATAAGTTTTATTTTTATATATATTATAGATATCTTTTTTATATATATAAACATAAAGTTTTTAATTTAATTTTTATTTTTTTTTTATTTCTCAAGCCTATATTCTGCTCTGGGAAGCTCAGGGGGGGGGAAGGGAGGGTTTTTGGGAGGGGTGTGGGGTGGGGTTTTTTTTTTTTTTTATATATGTATTGTTTAACTTTTTTTCTTTTGTATATGTTGTTTTTTGTTCTGTATTGTTCTTGTTTTTCTTGTAAAATTTATAAAACTTTTAATAAAAAAAAAATAAAAAAAAAAAAAAAGCTTTAGGTAACCTTGCTTGTTTAAGAAAAGGAGAGGAACCTTTCTTGTCCCTTTGTATATCTAAGACACCATTCCAATCACCCATTAATACCACTGATCTATAGTCAAGCAATGTTATTTTTTGATGTAACTGCTTATAAAATTGTTCCTGTTGTTGATTTGGAGCATACAGTCCCACTATAAGTACTTTCTTACCATATATACCAAGTTCAATCATCACATATCTCCCCTGGGGATCTGATTCTACCAGACAAGCTGGTAGGTTTTGTTTAACATATATAACAACTCCCCCTTTCTTCCCAGGAGCAGAAGATATAAAATGAGATCCCAAACGAGCATTGACTAAATATTTCTGATCTTTAAGTAAAATATGAGTTTCCTGTAAGCAAATAACATCATTGGTATGTTGCTTCAAATAATAAAAGATTTTTTTCCGTTTCTGAGGAGAATTCAATCCATTAACATTCCAGGTCAAAAACTTTGCCATCTCCCTTGGCACGCAGCCTGGAGAAGACACCATCAAGATCTGAAAGAGCTGCATGTGTTGCATAACTCTTGGGTCTTGCTCCTCCCACCGGCGATGATGCACTTCCAGAAGAATTCTCTTTAGGCTCTTTTTTACGTTGCTCCTTCTCTTTACGCTTATAAGCTGCACGAGTCATCCTCTGCTCTTTAACCTCCATCTGGCGTTGCCTTTCAGCTTGTATCATCCCAGCGGAAACCAAACCTAATGCCTCAGATTGCTGCTCGACTTCCTTGCCGCTCGGAGATTTCTGACCAGCTGAAGTTGAGCCTGCACCCAGGACCGAAGTATAAAACTCTCTAGCTTTGTCAACTGTATTCAATCTGTAGCGTGTCCCCGCATGGCTCAAAACAATACCCATCGGAATTTCCCATCTAAATGGCATCAATCTAGCTTTGAGCTCATTGGTTAAAAAAGCAAAGTCTTTCCTGCTTCTTAACATTTTGGATGGGATTTCCTTTAGAATGATAACATCTTGGGCAGCAATCTGAAATCTTTTGTTGTAAAAGGCTTGTATAATCTCATTCCGCAGGGACTTCTTTGTAAAATAAATCACCACATCTCTAGGCAAATTCTTCTGCTTAGCAATCCAAGAGTTAAGTCTATAAATTTTTTCCACTTCTCTATGTAATTCTCCTTTATCCATATCGGAGCAGGCATTTCATAATGTTACAAGCACATGTCAGAATCATAACTTTTTTTCACAGTTATTATGTTTCATTAATACATGCTGTAAATTTGTTTTAAGGTTCAAAATTTAATCACCAGTCCCCTAGAAAGCTGTTACAGCACTCTTCTGCTGGAATCCAACAAGGGCATCCGAAGTTTACTTTTATCGGTGGTTGGTTTAAAGGTTGGTAATTCTAAAACGTTAATTTTCAGCTATAATACTTTAGTGAGAGAAGTTCGGAAGTAAGAACTTAGAAGTAATAGCAATCGCAATAGCACACTTAAATACCACTTTACAACCCTCTCCAAGCAATTTACAGAGTCAGCCTATTGCCCTCAACAATCTGGGTCCTCATTTTACCGATCTCGGAAGGATAGAAGGCTGAGTCAACTTTGAGCCGGTCAGGATCGAACTGCTGGCTATGGACAGAGTTTGCCTACAATACTGCATTCTAACCACTGCACCACCATAACTTCTTTTACTCTCTCAAGTAAAATAACTAATGATAAAATTCTCTTTTGTCTTGGCTGTAAATTGGTTTTCTCCCCAACTAAGCCTTTAGTTAGTCTTAGTTTAATATTTGACCTTTGATATTCTATTACAGGTAGCAAACAATCCTGAGGAAATTTACCAATTCATGGGTGCAACCTTACTTAGTATACAGCCACAGCTCCTGCCTCAGAAGAGCCTGCAGGATGTAACAATGGAAGCCTTACAATGGCTGAAACAAAATGGGCTGCTAAAAGAGAAAGAAAATTCTGACAGCGAAAAGAACTGTCAGAATAATCTAGGGATCACTCAGTTGGGCCGAGCTACCTACAAAGGTAAAAGATGCTTGTGTTATTGGTTAATGGGGAGGTAAGCAGAATCGACCTTACCAATAAGCAGAATGAAACTCACCTCTAGAAGCATCCACGAGAAGGTTACTGGGTAGAGGGAAAGTGACAAGGCAGTGCAAGCTCCATCCCTTTTGTGCATGTATTAGAAAAGATGGAGCTTACCACAAGACTCTGGCTTTCGTTGTTTTAGGACAGTGATGCGAACCTTTTAGAGACCGAGTCCCCAAAAACTGGCTCCGCCCCCGCTCCACCCCCCCTGCCTGCCCCTGCTCTGCCCCCCATCCCCCACCCCGCCTGCCCACAGGACCACTCAACGCCTCCAGGGCCCGCCTCATTGCTCAGGCAGCCCAGCAGCGCTATGGCGGCCACACCCTCTGCCCGCAACCTGCAGTATCAACTGCATGATGGGGTGTGAGGGCAGAGTCTTGTCTACGCTGCCTGGCTGCCATGTCCTTGGCTGCGCTGCTCCGTGTGGGCCACTTTCGAGGGCGAGTCTCTTTCAGGGGGGCTGCTGGAGAGGAGGGAGTTGCGGGGGAGGCAAGACTGGGGCAACGGCACGTGTGCCCATAGAGAGGGCTCCGAGTGCCGCCTCTGGCACCTGTGCCATAGGTTCGCCACTACTGTTTTAGGATCAGATCCTGTGGATGCCTCTACTCACCTCAGGATGCTGATTGCATGTAATCCTTAATTTTATTCCTATTTTAGGTTCAATTGAATTGGCACACTGTGACACTCTCTACACAGACTTGAAGAAAGGACTTGAGGGGTTAATACTTGAAAGCTACCTTCATCTGATCTATCTGATAACACCATACGATATGATTCCTCAGTGTAGCCCAAATTGGATGGTCTATTTTAAACAGGTAAGATGCTTCCCCCCAAAAAAGCATCATTGGGTATCTTCTTCCTAGGCCTGGAACCTTGGCTCTTTTATGACTCGTGGACTTCAACTCCCAGAATTCCTGAGCCTGCAAGGTTGGATCAGGAATTCTGAGAGTTGATGTCCATGAGTCATAAAAGATCCAAGGTTGCCTACCCTGGCCTAGAATAATAGAAAGGAGTATTCCTAACAACACCAGGATAATTAAAACTCTGTCTTCTGTGGTACTAAATTTCATTGGGAAGAGACTTTTGCCTTTTTATAGCCTCTCTGTCTATTCTAAAATTGTGTGTTTTGGGCTCCTTGGCACTCCCATTACAGTATACCGTATATGCCGGCGTATTAGGCGACCCGGCATATAAGACCCCCGTCTTTATCGCCAGGTCGCCTTCCTAGAACGTCGTCTTATACGCCGGAAACTACCAGTATTTCCGGCGTATAAGACGACTCGGCGTATAAGACGACCCCCATCTTTGGCGCCGAGTTTAGCGCTTCCGGAAGTCGTCTTATACGCCGGCATATACGGTAAATGAAATGGATTGAGTTATGCATATGCTGCTGATGAAAGGCTACATAAAGAAATTTAAATCATGCATACACAGGATTTAGATCTTTTGAGAGTTCATCTGCTGGTGGGAGATATTTACTTTTTACATTATAAGTTAAAAATTAAGAGCTTTTATGCAGTGATTCAGATTTTACCAAATAGGTCATAAGTGTTTTATTTTTAGGAAAAAGGTATGTGAAGTACTAACTATATTTATGTATATATTCATTTATTTAATACAGGTATATACATTCCCATATAATCACATCTCAAAGCAGTGTATAAATTACAAAACTGAAATAACAATGATTAAAATGACAAAATACTGACATGAAACCCAACTTCAAGTTCATTAAAACAATGAGGTTAAAGTAAGGAGAGCAAAATCCCGGATCATTTATTCAAGGAGAGGACAAAATGGTCCCCCCGGGGGGGGGGGGGGGCGGGAGAGAGAACTAGGTCTTTGTTATGAACCTGGGAAGAGGGATAGGCAACTCAGAGTGCCATCACAGGGAAAGCTTACCTACAGGATTGTCCCTTGCCCGGCTTTTACAAGTGACCACTTTCAGTAGCTTCCCCTATTGTGTGGAAATTCTTCTTAGCAGAAATTCGGTTTGCTTCACCCCTCTTGAACTTCAGGAAAATGATAAAAGACTTTTTGTTCCATCTAGTTTGGGAAGTGGGTACATTACAGCTGAAGGTGAAGTTTGCTGGTACAGATTTCTAAGTTCTGGTTTCTTTTTTGTTTTGTAATTTTTTTAAATACATTTTTGGATATTATGTAATGTTGACATTGTTAGCCACCCGTAGCCTTCCCACCAGGATGCACATATCTTTGCATTCACCTCTGTTTGAAGCTGAATAAATACAACAGCTCAGTTTTAATATTTCTCATGTAAAACAGGATAGATTGTGTCCTATAATTACTATTTGCTTAATTTTAGATCTGAGCTGATTATAATTTGTTTGTTTTAGTTCAATCAACTAAGTCTAATAGAACAACAGGTAACCAGCATTGTTGGAGTGCCGGAGAGCTTTATTACCAAAAAGGCATCTGGACAAGCCATCAAGAAAGTAAGAGAAAGATTTGTTTATTAAACAACCGTGTCTGAATGGCCACCAGAAAAATACACTTGTAATTATTTATTCCAGTGATTACAAGTTTTTCTTCCTTCTCTTATCCACTTTCTCTTGCCATTTAAGCTACTTGTTAAAGTAGCAACATTAAATAAGAGGATTTTGAAAATATCATAAGAATTACTGAAATACTGGAGAACCCCATGTTGAAATCTCCATGCTAATGTGTCATAAAACACATCGGGTGACACTCATTGGGGATTGCCATAATTGCTCTAGCTGCAGTTGATAGAATCTGTAGGAAAAAAACAAGATATATTGCCTTCCTTGAAGAAAAGGTGAAGTTCAATTGTAATCTTATGTATGCATGATCTAAGAATAGTAAGAATACAAAAAGAATTAAATTAATTCATCTGATATTGTACATATTGAATGAACTAGCAAGAAAATGTTTTTAACTGTAATCTGAGAATCAGCAGAAAAATTCTACAGTTATATTTCTGTTATTTATATTACAAATTCTATTTTGGAAAAATGTGTTACTATATCCCTTAGATTGTTCCTACATTGTGAAACATACTGTAATTATTTAAGGAACTTAAAGAAATAGAAGCTTGCAAAGATTTTATGTTGTTTTCAGTTTCTTTATGATCTTGGTATCTTCTTAGGAACTGGATAGTAATACTGTTAACAGACTTTACCTGTCCCTCATCCTTCATTCCTTGTTAAGAGAGACCAACATATGGGATGTGTCAGAAAAATTTAATATACCACGAGGATTTGTTCAAACTCTTCTCAATTCAGCGGCTTCATTCTCCTCCTCAGTTTTGCATTTTTGTGAGGTAATGTAAAACAGCTAAATAACTGCAAGGCAAAAACATCATTCATTACTTGTCTTTGAAAAAAAGTTATAATTTCTTTGGTAATCATCTCATACAATTTCCTTTCATAAATTTAGATCCAATTTTCAGTGCATTACTTTGCTCCCATGTGAACAGTTTTCAAACTGAAAATAAATAACACTCATAGATATCTTGTAATTTTGTATACCTCATTTTGAAACCAATCCCTCTGATATGTATTTTATTCATTTATTTATTTATGAGAAATTATATGGCTGCCTACTTACTCTCAGTGACTCCAAGTGGTTTACAAAAATAAAATTACCCCTTAGCTAAATACAGCATCGTATTGACATTTTCCAACAGCTGGTTTTTCTTTTGTCATCATATCATAACATGAAAGATTCTGTGTTATCACAATGTTGCATCCCAATATGTAGAGCCCAGTTTAATCCTTTTATCTACTGCAAACATTAATTTAGATACAACAAATGGATCCCACTAAGACAAGGGTAGGCAACCTTGGCTCTTTTATGACTCGTGGACTTCAACTCCCAGAATTCCTGAGCCAGTATGGCTCAGCTTGGAAACCTCTCCCTTTCCCCTCAGCATGGCTGGCTCGGGAATTCTGGGAGTTGAAGTCCACGAGTCATAAAAGAGCCAAGGTTGCCTACCCCTGAACTAAGAGAAGAAACTAAGCAAGGTTTGATTGATAGGTTTCTAAGTAAAACTGACCAACAGGAATGTTGCTAATGTGTTTTCTTACAGGAGCTGGATGAATTTTGGGTTTATAAAGCTCTCCTGCCAGAACTTACCAAGAGATTAAGCTATTGTGTTAAAGCAGAACTTATTCCTCTTATGGAGGTAGCTGGAGTTTTAGAGGTTAGTACAGTCTACTTTGACAAAAAAAGGATGTTCAGTACACCTGAATGCAGTTTATATGAATTAGTTTTTAAAAAATAGGTTAACTAGGAGAGTTTTTAGATATCCAAACAGAATGTAAGGATTACTTCTAAAATTTCTTCTGGTTGCTCACTACTTCCTGAAAATTTCCAGTTAGAGGTAGAGGACTGGCACATTGGCAGGTGTCTGTAATGTAAATCACATACCTAAATTCAAAAGGACCTTGATTGGGTGCTTCTGGTCCAGCTTTTGCCTTGTTGGACACCAAGTTCTGCTTTGCAGATGAGGGTGAAGATAGACACTAGCAGCTATTTATTTTTCAGCTGAGAGCCATTGTAGTTTTATTGTGGCTGGAGAATTTTGGGCATTGAAGTCCACAGGTTTTAAAGTTGCCAAGGTTGGACATCCCTGATGTAACGTCTTGATCCATCGTTAGCTCTCTCCTTTAATTAGCTTCTTCACTGCTTCGCAGGCTCGAGCCAAGCAACTCTACAACTTGGGCTATAAAAGTTTAGCTCACTTGGCCAATGCAGATCCAGAACTTCTAATCAAGAATGTTGCGCATATGTCCAGAACACAGGCCAGGAAAATAGTTTCATCTGCAAAGGTAAGGAAAGAAGTAGTGAGACACTCGTCTGGACCAACTGCTGTTTAAGTGGGAAGAGGTCTTATATAGTCCTCGTCAGAAATCAGGGTCAGAATAATCTCCATCTTTGGCAAGTAGCCATTCTGTCTCTATTTTATCTAAGTCTTGTGGATTGAGGCAGTTGGGGTGAAGTCTAGTGCTGTTTTTGAGAAATATATATTGATATCTGTGATGAACGGTGTATGTTGCTTAAAAAAAAAGACAATCTATTATGATGGGTCTTCAAACTTGGCCCTTTTATGACTTGTGTATTTCAACCCCCAGAATTCCTTAGCCAGCATGCGTGGCTGAGGAATTCTGGGAGTTGAAGTCTACAAGTCATAAAACGGCCAAGTTTGAAGACCCTTGCATTACGAGGATCAGTAGTTGCTAGGATCTCTGCACGACTGCAGAGCACTTACGCTGATTGTGGATAAGGTATAAATACATGTCAGATTTTGCCTTTGTTGCGTGTAAAGCAAATGCTTTGGCTTTTTTTTTTTTTTAACCTAAATGCAGGCATTAATTGATCTGGGAGAAAATAAAATTGGAGGCCTCATATGAATGAAGGTTCAGTCTAGTCTCTGCTCCAGTGAGCCTTCTAAGAAATGAACATTGTATATGTCGCCTTGGGAGCTATTTGGTCTCAGACACACAGTAAATACACTACAGCAGCGGTTCTCAACCTGTGGGTCGGGACCCCATTTGGGGTCGAATGACCATTTCACGGGGGTCGCCAAACAACGCAGTCCGCCATTTCCCCCCCCTCCTTTTCCTTAGCTGTGCTACTCCTTTTTATTCTATTGGCTTTTGAAAGCCAATAGAATAGACTCTCTTGAATAGAGTTTAATTCTATTGGCTTTCAAAAGCCAATAGGAATTGTCCAGGCTGTCTCTGCCCTGCTGAGCCAGCCAAAAGTTCCATTCTGCAAATGGTGCTGCACCAGTTGAATAGTCCTCGACTTACGACCGGTTGAGTAGTCCTCGACTTACGACCGGTTGGGGGTCACGGCATTAAAAAGGTTGAGAACCACTGCACTACAGTAAAAAGTCGTGACTTTTTTTTTCTTTGAATGCAGATGCTCCTTGCTGAGAAGACCGAGGCTTTACAAGAAGAAGTTGAAGAATTATTGAGAATACCCACGGATGTTCCATGAGGCTTTTTATTTTTCCGTAAATCCAAGATTCAATAGATTTATCTCCTGCCTTGATCACTGCTTGTATTTACTGTATATATTAATGTAATAAAATTTATACATCAGAAAATATTTTTTAAAAAATCATCAGCATGTTTTGTTTTGTACATAATGGAATTACATGGGTTTTTTTGCAATCTGCTTTGTATTTTACCTTTCAGACATATTGCCATTAATGACATGATTTTACATTTTATTTCAGTGTCACTATTTTTATTAGATTACTTCATGACTCTTAACACGATCATGTTGGGAAATTAATTTTATTTTTTTATTTGAAAATCTATTTCGGGATTATCAGGAGACTTATAATGGCATAATTGACATAACTTGTCTATCTTTGCTAAATTATATATCAAATATGCTTTCGAATAGTTTAGTCTATCTGGGTAATTAACTCCCTGGCTATGTTCACACTATGTATTAGTACCACAGATTAGCCAACCATATTTTAGTATAGAGTATCTTGCCAAATCATGGCTAATGGCTAATTCATGGTTTGAAAAACTGTGCCAATTGGTTTTGAATATTTTTAAAAAATAAAACACACCCCAAACAAGACTGAAAAATATATACCGTATTTTCCGGCGTATAAGGTGACCCGGCATATAAGACGACCCCCGACTTCGGCGCCGAGTCGCATGCCTAGAAAGTCATCTTATACGCTGGAAACTATCGTTATTTCCGGCATATAAGACGACTCGGCATATAAGACGACCCCCGACTTCGGCGCCGATTTCAATGGTTTCGAAAGTCGTCTTATATGCCGAAAAGTACAGTAAACAAAATGTACAGATATTAAAAGGTAGCCATTACAAGCACAGGCAAAACCACACACCCACAGAGGCTCTATACAACACATAAACTATAATTATTCATCACAGTGGCTCAAGAAAAGCCACCCACACAGTGGCTAAATATGTTGGTCTGGTTCCCATACAAAGATATCTGACTTTGTTTTCTTAGGGAAGGTGCTTTTTACAAAATATATTTCAAAAAAAGATCAAAATGAAAGCATTGAAAGATCACTGTGGAGAAATCTCTGAAACATTTAAGGAGGCAATTGTAAATATTGGCAAGGCTGTGCAATAGCTAGATAATTTTTTTATCTATTAAGGAAATACCTGGGGTATAAGCTTTGTAATACGATCACAGATGCAAATGCTAATAGAGAAAACCTATTTCTACTTATCCTGCCTGCACTTGGGCCATCCAAAATGGACTATGTGCACTTACTTATACATGGACAAACAAAATACTCTCTCACTTCTCCCTAGCCCCAGATTCTGAAAATCATCTCTCCTTCCATGATCCTCTTTTATTAGTCCAGCCCAAACTTTTCTTTCTCTGAAGCATCTATCTTGTAAATCTGTTTTAAACTGTAGTCCTGATGGCTAAAATGTTGGACATCCCTGCTCCTATCCCACTTCCTACTGTTTGCAACCTCATCCTTCCTCAAGACTTTCAGAGAAAACCCAATGTTTTATTTCAAGTATATTGTGTATGGGAGTTACTGAGAAATGTGTTCATGTTCCTGCAAATTCTGAAACTTGTGCTTGAGTTCTGTACTTGGGTGGCTGTGACATTTCCTGCGTAGTCATTGTAAAAGCAGTGAGATTCCCACATTGTATTTAAAGGTCATTAGATTTCACAGCCACCTCAGTTCTATTTTGGATGGTCACTAGGATAACACATCCTCAATTAGTTAATAGTTGGAAAACCTGTTATAATTAGTTTGTGACTAGATTCTTTAGGTGGAGTCACAGTTCTGCAACAATGAGGACTGAGTAAAACCATTAGAGTAACTTCCTTCAGCAATATTTACACTACAATCATAGCTTTATCAAACCATCTTGTCCATTTGCACAACCCAGCACCGCATATCACATTTTAGTTTAGCCAGATGCAATCTTTAAGTAAAACAGACATTCATCTGTCCTAAAATACAAAAACTCTAGATTAGGTGCTGAGTAGCACAAATTGGGCACCAATACAAAGGCTGGGTTCATTCATCATTCAAAGGAACTGCTTAACAATGGTTAGTTGAACAAACCACAATGACTTTCATGCCATGCTAAGCCAAAATATAAGAAGACACATGACTTAGCCCAGTTTTTCCAACTTGGCAACTTCCAGATATGTAAAGCAACTCAGAATTCTTAGCAATAGCCATGCAATCTAAAGAATTGTGGGAGTTATAGTCCACAGATCTGGAAACTTGAAAAACAGGTTTGTTACAATCTCTGAAACCAGTAAGGAACCCATTTGTTTTCTCCCAAACTGCTTAGTGAATTGAAAGTTGAATGGGACTCCAATCCTATCACACTGCTTAGAAATTAGGCAGAATTTAATTTCTGATAAAAATGCATAAAACTGTAGTCTGTTGTTCCCTAAATATGTTGGAAGTGCATCTCCCACAATTTCCAGCTAAAATAGTCAAATCCTGGGAATTCTGCAAGGTGCACACCCAATATATTGTATTTGAAAGATGTCAAACTGGGGACATTGTGCTGACTCAGATTCTCCTGATTAGAGAAGATTAGAAAGGCTACAAACAATGATTCACATTGTAGGCATCTTCAAATGTTTTGGATGATTACTTGTTTGGAAACTTTATAATACATTTATGGACATTCATAAATGATTGTTGTGATAGGCAGGCCAATCACAAAGTCCCAACATACTAGGAAAGCACAGGAGAAAAGACCTATCTATTTAACTTCTAAGGACTCTTCAACAACAAGACAATCTTTATTCCATAATTTCTCCAAATTGGTCTCAATTGTTATCATCGATGCTGGCTGAAAAGTACAGGTTTCCAGGTTAAAACATAAAGTTGAGAAAATAAAACATAATTTTCCATTCCTGAAAACTTGCCCACTAATTCATTCCACATCCTTTTTTTCTGCTTTCTCAAAATATATTGTTTCTCCCAGCTAATTCCCCTTTCGGTTAACAACCAAAAAAAACAGCTGTTGCAATTAATTCACACAGATGACAAGGAGAAGCCACAATGACATCAAGGGGAATCATTACACCACTGTACAGACACAAATTATGTTGTGACATCACTTGTGTCCGGATGCCCAAGGAGTCACATAAATACAAAATGGCAGTTATTTATTTGCACATGCCCCCAAACAGGGTGCAAATTTCTTACTTCCAAAATGTGCAAAATTAGCAAAATGCCACTTTTTCATCTTTTTTGTTTTTAAGGTCATGTCCGGGTGCCACTAAATGAAAGTCTTCTGAGCTCGGAAGGGTTGGATTCAGGCTATGGCTGCAAAAACCTCTTGGTCAGGGGTGTCAAATTTGCAACGTCACGTGACATGTCACAACGTATCGCAACTTTTTTCCCATTTCTGGCAATGGGGTGTTCACGGTTTCGCCATGACGCATCTGGCCTGTGGGACGGCAGTTTGACACCCCTGCTCTTGGTTGTGGTCACTTCAAAAGGCTAAACCAAGATTTTATTTATAGAGAAAAATAGTTGTAGCTCTGGGTTCAAATGAGCAATGATGATGTTACCTAGTTTGGGTAATGAAAGGTCTGGAAGGAAACAACCAAGTTCAGAAAACACTAGGGACCGCTCAGGGCTGGGTTAATTAGTTAGTTATTAAATTTATTCACTCACTTAATATACATTTTTAGATTTATTTTATTGAATTTATGTTAATACATTTATACGTTGCCCATCTGACTGTGAAGCAACTCTGGGCGGTTCACAACATGGTAAAAGCAACAATATAAAACACGAAAAATATTAAAATGAATCAAATTGATTTTAGATTCGGTCAGTACAGGCAGTCCTTGACTTACGACCACAATTGAGCCCAACCTTTCTGTTGCTAAGTGAGACATGTCTTAAGTGAATTTTGCCCCAACCTTTATTGCCACATTTGTTAAGTGAATAATGGCAGTTGTTCAGTTAGGAACATGGTTGTTAAGTGAATCTGGCTTCCCCATTGACTTTGCTTATCAGAAGATCACATGACCCTGGGACACTGCAGCCGTCGTAAGTATGAATCAGTTGCCAAGCATCCAAATTTTGTTCAGGCGACCATGGAGACGCTGCAACGGCCGCAAGTGTGAAAAACGGTCACTTTTCTTTCAGTGCCGTTGTAACTTTGAACAGTCACTAAATGAACTGTTGTAAGTCGAGGACTACCTGTACTTCCTTGGAGGGAAAACCAAGGCCAGGGGAGCACCGGATGAGAGGGAAGCCATTAGACCTTGCAGAGATGTGCAAGGGCAAACTACAATCCTGTGGCTACCGACAAAGCGCCATTCGCGCCCTTCCTGAAGCCACTTTTTCTCTACTGAGCCTTACCCCGCCCCCCCCCACATACACAAATCTTCTCCCGGGACGGCTTTTGCGCGAAACCCTGGCTTGTTTTAACCATGGTTAGCAGCCGAGCAAGGAGGGATGAGGAGCACACCTCAAGCAGGGCGTGAGAGCCGCAGCAGGGCGTGGGCAGGCGTCTCCTTCCGCGGCGCCTCGCCTCACGCCGGGCGTCCTTCACTCGCTGGAGGCCGAGCTCCACAGCGGCTGAGGTGGGGGAAACCGCGCGCTCGCCTGCCTCTCTCCGGCAGCCGAGCTGAGAAGAGCCGAGGCGAGCCGGCGCCAAGCGGAGCGCTTTCCTCGCCGCCGCCTCCCGAGATGCCGCCGCCGCCGCTGCTGTTCCTGTTGCTGCCGCTGTTGCACCTTTGCGGCTGGCGGGTGCGGGACGCGGCGGGCTCGTGGCCAGCAGAGAAGGGACGAAAGGAGGACGAGGCGGCGCTGAGCTTCCAGCTGAGCCGCGAGCCGCTGCGGAAAGTCAGCCCGTTTTTCCTCTCCGTCACCCTCGACTCCAACCTCATCACCGACCCCAAGTACATCACCTTCCTCGGGTAGGTAAGCCGGCGCCCGCGGGCGACACGGGGAGCTCTTCCCGACTGACCGACGGGACGAACCCCCCCCCCTTCCCCACCACCAGCACCAGCAGCCCTCTCGCTTTGAAAAGCAGCACCTGACCCCTGGCTGCCTGCGGCGTCGGAGCCCTAAGCACCTGGTTTTTTTAATGCTTGGGAAGCCCCAACCGACCTAAGGAGTTTGGCGGCCGCGTTTGAACGACCCGTGCCGGAGAAATGTAACAGAATGACAGAGTTGGAAGGGACCTTGGAGGTCATCTAGTCCAGTGGTTCTTAACCTTTTTGAACGAATCGCCCCCTTGAGCCAGTGAGGAAGTTGTCATCGCCCCCCTCCCCCAACATAACCTCTCAATCACAACATAGGAAATAATTCTTCAATTTATGCAAACACTTTTTTTGTTTTCTTTGAAATTGTCATCAGGACATATGGATGCAAATAATTTATTTCCACTCTTTTCCCCATCTCTCCCATATTCTGGCCAATGGCGTGCCACTGTAAGGGTAGAGGCTGCTGCACAACGTGCATGAAGATAAGGGATGTGTATTCACATATGTACGGCGTTCTGTACTGAAGCTAGCTGGAGGAACATTTGAAAACACAATTCAATCCACTAATAGCGAGCGATCTGATGCTTTTGTATGACAGATATACAACGATTCACTGTATGAAAAAGTCTCAAAAGTGTCCCCAAAACTTCTCGCTCCATGGCCCCCATATCACCCCCTTTTCGTTCCTTCGCCCCCATGTCGCCCCTTTTTGTTCCATTGCCCCCCTGAAAAATGAAATTGCCCCCTGGGGGCCAATATCGCCCAGGTTAAGAACCACTGATCTAGTCCAACCCCCTGCTAAGGAAGAAAACCCTAAACCATTTCAGACAAGTCCCTTGTTAAAAACTTCCAGTGTTGGAGCATTCACCGCTTCTGGAGGCAGGTTGTTCCACTGGTTAATTGTTTTTGGTTTTTTTAAAAAATATATTTTATTGGATTTTTTAAGGATGGGGGGGGATAGAATAGGTAGGGGTATAAGATAGAGTAAAAAACAAGGGTTAAACCAAAGGTAGGGATGGATACAATACTGGGGTTACCCCTAACAATAAATCAACACTTTAGCAAGCAGACTGTCATCCGGGTATACATATTGAATGTCAATAGTTAATATAATGCTAAACAGCTATGTTATAATAGATTTATCATTAATCCTAAAAATGAGAAATTAACCAATACATATCATTCATTCTAAAAATAACCATGATTAATGAATTAATTGTTCTCACTGTCAGGAAGTTCCTCCTTAGTTCTAGGTTGCTTTTCTCTTGGGTTAGTTTCCATCTTTTGCTTCTTGTCCTGCCTTCAGGTGCTTTGGAGAATAGCTTGAGTCCCTCTTCTTTGGGGCAGCCCCTGAGATATTGGAACACTGCTATCATGTGTCCCCTAATCTGTCTTTTCATTAAACTTGACATACCCAATTCCAGCAACTGTTCTTTATATGTTTTAGCTTCCAGTCCCCTAATCATCTTGGTCCTTTGTTAAATAGGAGAGCAGGACTGGTGACAATGAAAGTTATGAACGAGTGTACTGCTGGGTGCAGGCGGGGTAGATCTGGGACCTTATTTGAACCCACTGAGAGTAGAGCAGAGCCCATTCAAATATTTTTGGCTCCATGGGTTAGTTAAACTGTGCTCAACTGACCTACCTTACAGGGTTGTTGTAAAACACGAGATGGCCATCCATGTAACCTAAACTCCTTGGGAGAGGGGCAGTGGTGGGATTCAGCCGGTTCGCACCACTTTGGCAGAACCGGTAACTAATTTTTTGTTGTCCAGGCCCAGAATGGACTTCCGGAAGTGGCATCCACACAGAGAACCGGTTGTTCACATATTTGAATCCCGCCACTGGAGAGGGGTAGCTATCAGAGATGAAAAATCCAAACTTTTAAGTGTCTTCTTTGCTTTTCATCTATCCATTGGGCTCAGACAACATGCACTTGGTACTGTATAAGTTTGCAGGTTACTTTGTAGCTTGCGAGGGTTGGCAAACCTTAAGTATATCATTGTCTGAACTTTTGGATGTTGTACAAATCCATTTTATGACCTTTCTTGCCACAGTTATTAAGTGAATCATGGCAGCTGTTAATTTAGTAACACGGTTCTAAAGTGGCTTCCCCATTGACTTTGTTTGTCAGAAGGCCACAAAAGGTAATTACATGACCCCGGGACACTGCAACCGTCATAAATATGATTTGCCAAGCATATGAATTTTGATCGTGTGACCATGGGGATGTTGCAATGGTCATAAGTGTGGAAAGTGGTCATGACTTTTTTCAGTGCTATTGTAACTTTGAAAGGTCACTAAATTAATGGTATATAAGTCAAGGACAGCATGTACTCCTGATTCAAATATCCATTTTGCTGTACTGGTGTAGGAAGAATGAGTTGACAGCATTCTTTATAATTATCTCCCTAGAACAATTGTCCTCTTAATTATCTGCCTGGCTAAAGAACTTGCTTTGCCATTTCCTGTAGCTCCTGTCTGGTGTTTTGGCTGGTGAGATAGACGCCAGGGAATCCTGCTGTCCCCGTTTCTGCCCACTGTTTTAGTCCCCTGACAACCCTCTTAAATGAATCCAGCAAGAAATGTATTTTTGGATGCTATGCAATTCTTCTCAATAGAACTGCATATTCTGAGACCGATTTATCTCTGGCACAGTTGCATGGTGCAATTTTGGCTTGATTATTCTTTCTTTACAGTTCTTTACAGTGCAATCCTTGCAGTGTATTTCAGAGAGATTGTTGTTGTTGTTAATTGCGAAGTCGTGTCTGACCCATCGCGACCCCATGGACAACGTTCCTCCAGGTCTTCCTGTCCTCTACCATCTTCTGGAGTCCATTTAAATTCACACCTACTGCTTCAGTGACTCCATCCAGCCATCTCATTCTCTGTTGTCCCATTCTTCTATTGCCCTCAAACTGGAATATCTGTTGTTGTTTTTTTCCAGGTATACGATAAACTGCATTTCAGCCTTTCTTTGCAAGAGAATGGCAACATCCCCTTTAAGGCTTGTGAGAACAGAAAAGCTGAATGAGAATCAAATCAATAAACCGCCTTGTAACCCCAATTTTATTTCTTAACCTCACATTGCTAGCCTTGCCTTTGTCCCTGAACAAATGCTCTGTGCAAATTTATCCTGTGGGCATTATTCTGCAAAACACCTGCAACATTAAATGCAAAAAAAAAAAAAAAAAAAAATCGAGTGAAGAAGATAAGGTATCGTTAGGCCAAAGCCCTTAATCCCACCTACCTCAGAGTTGTTTCATGAATACCTGCAATTATGTTAAGCTTCTTTGGATTGGAACATTCTGTTTATTCACTTATCTCTATTGGCACCTGAAGTGGTTGAGTCTGAATGCAAAAGTTGCTGAGTTCCTGATCTGGTTTAGGAGATAAAGTTACCCAATTAGTCTCCTACACATAATAGGGAGAAAAGGGATAGTTCTTCCGTTAGTTCACTTGGGATATGAACTTTAAGGCCCTTGTTCACCTTTGACATGGCTTGGTCTAATCCAGAGGTCTTCAAACCTGGCCCTTTTATGGCTTGTGGACTTCAACTCCCAGAATTCCTCAGCCAGGCGGCTGAGGAATTCTGGGAGTTGAAGTCCACAAGCCATAAAAGGGCCAAGTTTGAAGACCCTTGGTCTGATCCAACCCTGCTCTAAATGTAACAAGCCATGTCAAAGGTGAACAAGGGCCTTAAAGTTCATATCCCAAATGAATAAATGGAAGAATTTTCAGACTTGTCAGTTTGAAGATGTGTATGGACTTCTATGCTGGCTGGGGAATTCTTGAAGTCCATACATCTTCAAGTTGCCACGGTAGAGAAATACTGGATTAGACAATCCTTTACATTCTTAGATTTCCCCAAAACATTGTTACGTTTCTGTCTTGGGGGTTCTGGATGGTGAACATTCTGTAGTTCATCCCATTTTTCTCTATAACAGTGGTTCTCAACCTTTTTAATGCCACGACCCCCAACCGGTCGTAAGTCGAGGACTTTCCCTGCCCGGGAGCGCCGCGCATGCGTGGTGCCGCCCCCTGCGTCGGTCGAGGCGTAGCTGGCAAGCGGCAGAGACGGCGCAGGCCGACCACCGGCTGGGGCACCAGCTGGCCCAGCCCAAGGGAGGTAAGGCACCCGCCGGGCCCCACATGCGCCAGCAACCCTCCCTGCGCCCACCGGCCTCCCACCTCCCATCCCTGGCCCTCTTTTACTTACATTTTTAGTAGTTGCTCAGCAGGGAGGGGTGGAAACTTCCAGACAGCTCGCCTTCGCTGCAGACAACTTGGAGCACTGTTTGCAGACTGGGACTTTTGGCGGGCTCAGCAGGGCAGAGACAGCCTGGACAATTCCTATTGGCTTTTGAAAGCCAATAGAATTAGACTCTATTCAAGAGAGTCTATTCTATTGGCTTTCAAAAGCCAATAGAATAAAAGGGAGTAGCACAGCTAAGGAAAAGGGGAAAAAAATGGCGGATTGTGTTGTTTGGCAACCCCTATGAAATGATCGTTCGACCCCAAATGGGGTCCCGACCCACAGGTTGAGAACCATTGCTCTGTAACAACATCCCTGTTAGGTAGGTTGATGTCTATGGAAATTCTTAGTCATTTCAGTCATGGTTGTCCCAAAGATGTTTTTTCAAGAGGCAACTGGGCTTGCTTTGTTTTTCCTTGAAGAAGTTTCACTTCTCATCCAAGAAGCTTCTTCAGTTCTGACTAAATGGTGGGGAATCGAAGGATTTAGATTCCTTGCAGTCATCTGATCATTCACACTCTTTCTGAGAGTCATTGAGGCCACATGGAGTTTATCTATGCCCTCAGGGTCATCTGAATAAGGCAAAATGAGTGTAGAACCTTCATGGATGAGTATTATGAGTGTTAGATTAGACTGAGCAAGAGGGATAGGAAGCTTCTGTGGCTGATGATGGATT